GTGTGTGTAAAAATAGATTACTACAACTATATCTCTACATTAAAATAAGTTGCCTTATTATACCTGGACTTTTATCCACTAAAACAAAAAAAAATACTCCAGTACACAATCCGTTTTTAGGTTATTGTGGACAGTAAAACCGGTTTGTGTCGGGTGTCTCTGGACTTGACCCTGTAACGCGTGGAAATTGCAGGACAGGAAGGACTTATTTTTACTACTTTAAATTACAATAAATAAGAAAATGGGAAAGTTTATATTGTAATTTCTATATATTTCCTAATCTATGTCGCCTTGTTATCTTATCTTTGTTATCTATATGTTATTACATGGCATTGATCACGTGTATATTGGTAGATAAATATCAAGTAACTATTTCTACCATTTATTATTATTATTATTATTATTATTATACTTCAGACAAGGTAGAAAATAGTATCAATAATAACACGAATAAGAATGAGAACAATAACTAGAATAAGACTAAGAAATAGAAGGACATTGATGATAATAATAATAATAATAATAATGTATATAAATATATTTTACCCCCGCAGATCCTCTCTAAAACAGACTATGACGTCATGAGTTCGTGCTGATTTTATTGTGACGTCATAGTGAGGGAGGCGACTCTGACGCAACAACGATATTAAAGCTATTTTGAGTAAGGCTGGTGGTCCGATACAAACTCCATTAAATTTTAGTCTTAATATTATACCTTTTGTGGTGTTATAAATCCCAGAAGTTACATTATGGCGTGTCACATCATTGTAAATAATAATAGTAATAGTAGTAGTAGTAATAATAGTAATCTAATAATTTCATCATGCATTAGCTACGAAAAATAATGAAGATAACTGTAAAATTAATTCTTATATAAATCAATTAATTCTTGATATTTTCACAGTATAAATTTTATATATTTGGATCAGCTGACGTTCATTTCCCGCCAAAATGGTGGAATATTACGCGGGAATTTTTTTTTGTTTCATCCTCTATTATTCTTGATATTTTAGTCTCTTATATCCTATACCGTTAGTGCATTTATTCCATGTAGTGTGTGTGTGTGTACGTGTGTGTGTGTGAGAGAGAGAGAGAGAGAAGAGAGTTAATAACGGTATACATACATTAATGTAAATTTTTATAATCACATTTAACATATAGTTTATAAAAATCCATCATCAGATTCACCAATCACACAAAACCTTACAAAGATAACTAGATTTTGATTGGATCTCAAGGTTACAGACATACCACACACTTCCGCTTTCAAATACACCATTTAAGCTTTCACAGATCAGGTTGGATATTCTTATATATCTTTATATATAATCAACTTCTTGTATACACAGTCGAGTTATATATTGAGTTAGTGATATATGATAAAATATTTTAATACGTTAAATAGAGCTCGATTATATTTTAATTAAACTTGATGTAAATAGATTAGTATTTTAATTAAATTTGATGTAAATAGATTAGTATTTTAATTAAATTTGATGTAAATAGATTAGTTTTCACTATCTCTCCCTTTGTTGTTACTGCTTTCCTGTTTAGCGTTAAGTTAGGCAAAAAGAGGTGAAGTTACGATAGGTTAGGTTACCGTTAGGTTAGGTTAGCGTTAGGGTGGTTAATCATCAGGTGAAATAAGCTGGGGTGGAGATTTTTCAGGTGATCCACTTTGCCTAAAGGAATTTCGTCCGCGGGTCATCACAACACGAAGAGGAGGCTAGACAAAGCGGTGGGCTGTAGAGGTGTTGTTATTGATGTTTGTGGAGGAGGGCGAGGTAGGAGGGGATGAGGGAGGTGAGGGGGGAGGGGTGTGAGGGAGGTGGGGGGTCAGGGGTGATGGAGGAGGGTGGTGGAGAGAGGTGGGGGTCAGGGGTGATGGAGGGTGGTGGAAGGTGGGGGGTCAGGGGTGATGGAGGAGGGTGGTGGAGAGAGGTGGGGGTCAGGGGTGAGGGAGGAGGGCGGTGGAAAGGTGAAAGATAATGAGGGAAGGAGGCGGATTCTCAAAGGATTATTATTTATTATCTTTTAATAGTTGCTAAGTGAACGTATTTTTATCTTAGGTTATCTTTAGACAATGTTTTATCGTAAGTAGGTGTATGTTGTGTTATCGGATCACTTGAAGAATCCCCACCCTAGTTTAATTTGCCTAGATTAACTATTTTACCTAATCTATACTATCCTAAGTTAATGCTAACTTATCCTAACCCAAGCTTAACTTACTTTAATCTAACCTAAACTAACACTCAACTAACGTAACTATCCTAACTTGACCCAACATTAGACTAATCTAACACGAACATAAACTATCCCAACACTAACCTGACTTAAACTAACCCAATACTAACCTGACTTAAACTAACCCAACACTAACCTGACTTAAACTAACCCAACACTAACCTGACTTAAACCCAACACTAACCTGACTTAAACTAACCCAATACTAACCTCTTAACTACTAACCCAACACTAACCTGACTTAAACTAACCCAACACTAACCTGACTTAAACTAACCCAACACTAACGTAACCTAACCTAATCCCCCCAATTGTCGTTAATGTGGTTAATCTTCAGGTAAAATAAGCTTGCATGGATATTCTTCAGGTGATCAGCATGTGACCCACCACCATGTCGAAACACCTCCCTAGTTCTCCGTCTATAACAAGTAAGTAAGTACATCAAATTCGTGAAAATGTAACTTAATATATAAATCAAACTGTGTATCAGAGTAAAACTGATTCTAAATGTCATTGATGTGAATTATATATCTAGGTAAAGCTAACAATGAGGAAAGAGTAAAGGATTTCGATGTGTGTGTGTGTGTGTGTGTGTGTGCGTGTGTGTGTGTGTGTGTGTGTGTGTGTGTGTGTGCGTGTGCGCGTGTGTGTATGTGTGATCTTTTAACAAGGGCATCACTCCCGTATCAAAAACCCTTTAAATTCAAAATCTTTCTTACCTCCGGAGTATCTATTAACTTTTACATACACACTGTAATAATGGATAAAACGTTCCCATTAATAAGTTAGTTTAGGAATATATAGGATAAGTATATGAGCTAAAATAAGTTAAATAACCATAGATTATAAAGAAAGAATATTCTTGTTCCCGCCACCTGACCGTTGGCAGGTCTCAGGAGGGTGTCGCCTCTATGTCTCACAATACATTCTTAATCATCATCACGTGAACACAAAGACCCTTAAATTAAACAATTCTCTTTTATTACATAAATCTGTATCTGTCAGGTATAATATTAACTGTAAAGGTCACTAATGTGGTGTAATAGAAGATGAGTTGTACAAACGGGGTCAGCCAGGTTCATCTTACAATGGTTGGCGGGCAAAGTTTCCCGCGTTTCCCCATTGAGGTGTACACGAACACATACCCGCATTTGTAAACGAATGTCTCTACAATAACGCACATACCTGCATGTGTATGTCTATACTGTACACACGCACACATACCTGTGTTTGTGTGTACATATCTGGGACATCCACACCTGTATTTGTGTACATCTACACACCACGCACACAAACACACCTGCATGTGCCTATATCTACACACGTACACACACACACCTGCATGTGCCTATATCTACACACAAACACACCTGCATGTGCCTATATCTACACACGTACACACCTGCATGTGCCTATATCTACACACGCACACTTTATATATTCATGTGTATATGTGTCTGTCTTTTCATCATACACATCCATACAGTACTTGGTTACCTGCATATGTGTGTCTCTACATACCTTCAAACATGCACACACCTGTAATTTGTCTGTAAAGAGAGAGAGAGAGAGAGGGAGAGAGAGAGAGAGTAGAAGGTAAGAGGGTGTAAATGGTTAATGAGAGAGAAATAGAGAAGAAACAAAACATGGAACAAACGAGGGAAGAGGAATAGAAGGAGAAGAATGAATAGAAGATAAGTGGAAGGAAGAGAAGGAAGAACAAAACACAAGAATAATTGAGGGAGAGACGTATTGTACAGGTAGTGTACAAGTCGAATAATGAAGGGAAGTGAGGAGAAAGCGTGAGAGATGGAGAACTATATTAATAGATAGAGATAAACCGAGATAAAGATGAGAATAATGCAAAAATAGAGAAAATACGATACATAAACCAACAAAAAACAAACAATAGTTCAACCAACCATAAGGATAATAAACTAATAATAATAATAAATAAAACAAAAAATAAAATAAAAATAAAATAAAAATAATAAGATGAATTAAAACCGACAGCCGGGAATAGAAAATCGCACCTAACACCGCGACGTCTGGCAAAAACTATCAGTCATAAGTAACTCATCTATCCTGGTCTAACTCTCGCTAAGGAAGGTCTTATGTACAAATGTCTATGTCAACAAAGTGGTACGGTTTTGTATGGTCCAGTAAGGGTGGGATTTTATGGTTTGATTTTTGGTATTTTATGTTTGGTAATCGGTAGACGTGACTACACTTGCTACAACTATGGCGGACCTTCTCTGTCTCTCTCTCTCCAGTTTTAATCAAGTTATTCTCTTATAGCTTTCTCACTTTTCTATTTCTCTTTTAGCTGTCTTATGGAGGTTTAGTGAGGGCCAGAAATATGTTAATAGCTGTGGTAGGAGAGTGGCGTGTGGTACAGCGTAATCACCACCACTACATGTGTCGTTGGTAATAACTACATACATGGTAAATAGTTTTTAAGGTAGAATAAGCCAGGTTCAGTAGGCGCTGTGAGCAAGAGCTGTTCCCTCTACAGATGCGGATCAAGAACTGATGTCATCTACCAATCACCGCACCAAGAATTTAACCAATCAGCGTTAAGAAACGTTCGCTTGTAGACCAATCACAGAGGCCGTTATTATAGCCAATGAGACGACAGCCTACCCGCAACGCCAGCCAATGAATGAGTAGCGCGGGATGATGACGTCAAAGGGGGTATAAATAGTGGGACTTAGGCCGTTTTAGCTTTTAGTCGTCATTCTGAGTGCAGACGCGGTAGAAGTCACATCTCTCGTTCCAGCATTCAGGTACGACGAGGAGCGCTATAAATAAGGAATATTGATATTTTTCACGTACAAGTTTGTTACCGAGTATAACTAGTGACGTTGAGTGAATTTGGGTAATATGGTGGTACTCGAAGTAGGGTTTAAGGTTTGTGAAAGTAGTGAGTGTTTGGCGTCGGTGCCGCCATCTTTGTTTACTGCTGAAGCAAGATGGCGGCCCCGCGTCCCCCCCACCGCCAACCGTCAGCAGTTTTCAAATATTTGGCGGGTTAAGGTTAAGCTCCCGCCAAAAGTAATCCTTATGGATGAGAGTGCGAGAGAGGACAGGTGGACACAAGTGTACCAGTCAGTGACCGACCAACACCAGCTCTTCCTCTTCCTGTGCCGTTACCAAGGTTGACTGTCTTTTAGTGCAACTGTTAAGGTCATCAGCATTGCCCTACATATTTGTTGTAAAATGCGAAGATAAAAAGATTATACTTAAGATATTAGTTAATTCCAGTATGTTCGTGATGCTCAGTGACCAGAAGTGCTTATGATGTGTTGATAATTCGTCTTATATCTCTTAAAGTTCGTGATAATAATATGTTCCGTGTCTGAGTCCATGAGGCGATATTAGCAGTTTATAGTGTTGTAAGCTCGTAGATATTGATTAAATAGTGGACGTTAAGGGAGTGGTGGGGTAATAGTGTTGGTGGAAGCCATTTTATAATATGAAGGCAGTGTTAGTGTGTACCGTTGATCCATCATTACTTACGTCTATGGTATTTGGGGCATAATTCACCATATCCGAGTGTAGTGATTGTCAGATAATATTAAACTCGTCTCTTAAGCGTCCACGTGGTGTAGGTCAATAGTTAAGCTGGTCTGTGCTGGTTTTTTTCAAATTGTGTGTCGTTCAGCTGATAGTTTTGCCAGTTATACCATGGTCCTAATAACCTGATTTAACCAGTATTTATAAGTGCAGGGGATTGGGTGTAGGGAATAACTAGACCAGGGACAATGTGTGTCCTTTTTTGCATAGTAATGTGAAGTTTATTATGGCCAAATTACAGCAGGTTGTATTAATGTTAGTATTCCATGTGGTTTCGGAGTCCTGGGGTGGCTGCTGCATAAACCAACTGGGGGTGGCTGCTGCATAAACCAGGTTTTGGTTCATTTCAAATGCAGTTCATAATTGGCCACGTGGTAATTAATACAGGTCTAATCCAACAGTAACCTGATAATGCTAATTGGATGTAAGATATTTGTTAAATTTTAAAATCGGCATCTATATTATTTGCTTATATGATGGGATCAACACTCCATTTCTAATGGTTTGAATATTATGAAGTGGCTTCGTGGATATGTGATATTTCAGTATTGTTCTTGTAGCTTTCGTACTATAAAGTAAATAGCCAGCAGCCACACAACTGTCCATATAAACATGGCCAAAATTTGACCTTGAGCAGAGTCTTATTTGGTGTGATATTTGTTTCAATTCCAAATTTGTCATTTAGTCTTAACGTATATACAGTGCACTTTTAAAACCAGGTGTGTGTGTTGTAATCTCAATAATAAGCTATCATTACCACATGAAGTAGCTTGACTTAGTGATGCTCAGAAACCTTTGCACGGAATCCCAATGTTGTAATTGGGTAAAGATAAAGGGGAAAAGAAGTTTTCCTTTGGGCAGGTGTTGGGGAAGCCATTTTGCTGAACCATTTAACTAAGACAGGTTCTATATTGATTTTACAGTTAAAGGAGTCAGTGTGGATATGAGCCTCGGCTTTTACGAATAGAAATCATTATGTTTGGTACATATTTTCAGGGTAAGATTTAGTATTGAGTCATGTCAGTGCTCAACATGGCTGGTAAGGTACAAGCTCTATTGCAGTTGATTTGCAGTTTAGAGTATATGAAAATTAGTCCATGTGTGAGCTCGTATAAAAGTTAGGTATTAAATCATGGCAGTTCTTACTTCTCAGTGGTTGTGGGGCTTCTTAAATGCATCTTCCTCATGACTGTTACAGCTCATCAGTATTTGACTGTGGTGTCCTTTGCATGTATTTCCAGGTTTTAAGATTGTTTAATTGATGGAAACTTGCAGCAGTGTATAGATCAGTGTCCGATGAGTTCTTCTGGCGACGTGATAATTTTTTATTTATTTGGTAGCAAGTATTTGGTTTGGTATTTTATTGTAACAGCCAACACTCGGATGATTGAGATGTCTTTGGATTCCCTTAAGTGTGGATGATTAACTTCGTACTTGTTTCCCTTGGGTCTACTTCAGAGGTTTGGGGTTTGTTAAGTCCTGATCAGTTGTTAGGTACAAATATTTGTTTTTTTTTTCTTTTCCTAATTTTTTCTATTTAACACTGGTTTTATAGCATGTGGCACTTTGATCTAAAAAAATTGTGATCAGACGTCGCCATCTCATAATTCATAGAGCAAGTATCAAAATACATGGCCATATTTGCTTTGTGTTGGGTGTTAATGAAACTTGCCAAATGAGGGAATTAGGTATGCATTAGTTTGGAAAAAGTTGTGGATGAGTGGAACACATTGAGACAAACTTGTTTGGTAGCTTCAATTATAGGACGAGTTAAGGGGTTGGGTGTAAACAGGGCTGCCTTTTGTGGGACAGTAGGCCTGCTGCAGTTTCCCCTATTCTTGAAAATAAAACTTTCATGTTGACACTGGTTTAATGGAATTCTCAATTGTAAAATAATTAAATATTTTCTGTTTTAAGCTTTTTTAGTGGGTAGGGAATTGTATTTATACTTTTAATGGTTGAATGGGGTGTGTTACCTGATATATGTGTGCAATAGGATGCTGTATCTGTTTGTCTTACATTCTAACAAAATAATTTCTCCCCAGGTGAATCATGGCCCGTACAAAGCAAACAGCCCGTAAGTCCACTGGAGGCAAAGCTCCAAGGAAGCAGCTGGCTACTAAGGCTGCTCGTAAGTCAGCACCTTCCACCGGAGGTGTAAAGAAGCCCCATCGTTACCGCCCCGGTACTGTGGCCCTCCGAGAAATTCGTCGTTACCAGAAATCCACAGAATTGCTGATCCGCAAATTGCCCTTCCAGCGACTTGTTCGTGAAATTGCACAGGATTTCAAGACGGATCTGCGTTTCCAGAGTGCTGCTATCGGTGCCCTGCAGGTGAGAATATTGGCTGTGTATTTTGGTGCACTTTACCCGGGGGTTTCACCAGTTAAAGATCATACTGTTATCTTCATTTGTCATAACATTACAAAAATTACCAAATTTAAGCATAATACTTGCATTTATCAGTCATATCAGTCACCGGTGCCCTCTGTAATGAATTAAAATTTTTAAACTAAGCATTATTTTGGAACCTATTTCTATCCTCTCCTAAGTACACCACCTGGTGAAAACCCTTTACAATGACAAGTAATTAGTCATGTAGTTTTAATATTTGCATTTAAGTAGATGGTGGTTATTTGTATATACAGTGGTCCCTCGATTAACGAATTAGCTCCCATAAGGATTTTCTGTTCAATTAATGAACAAAACTTTGGTTTACGAAAGCTTTAGGAGAAACACGCTTTGTTGTGTGCATCAGCTGATCGACTAGTCCACCAATACAATAATTGGTTCTACGTTTACATTCATTTTCAGTGGAGTAAATATCAAGAAAGTTGTGTTCTTGAATATTTTTTGCATTTTGTATATTAAAATTATTGTTCATTCTAACATTTAGCCATCCAAGCTCTGTCTACATAAAGTTTTTCAACTAATATTTTGGGCTCAATATATGTAACTTTATTCATTTATTTTTACTCATTTACATACACACTGTCCTAAGGGCAAAGCTGTACTGTACATGTACTCAAAATAATGTACAAAATGATTACTAAGATTTTTTTTCTGCAAACTAGAGCATGTTTCTATTCAAATTAATCACTTTCTTATAAGAATTCCATCATTGTAAATTATATTCTCCCCGGTCACTTCTGTGGCATTTTATAAGCAGAAAACAAAAACTCAATCTAAAGGACATAAATAAACAAATAAATACTTCACTAGACCTCAGGTGCCAACTGTTAAACATGTCACTCACCTCCCAGCCATTGTTTGGTGGTTTTAGGCTTAAAGGTTTTATTTGATGTAATAGCACATACTAAAGTTAGGGGAATATAATTTGCATTGCTGGAATCCTTGCAAGACAGCGAATAGTTTGAATATAAATGTCATATATTTTGCACGGGATAAAACTTATCACCTGTATCACGTTACAGTAGTGATTTAAGAGTTCTAGTGTATATGTACGTATATATACAGTATAGTGGTTTAAGGGCGATTTTTGGGAGTTTCTGACTGAATTTTTTGGCTTTACATTGTATGTACTTTTTCTGAGTTGGAACCAATTACCCAATATCCCATTGAAATATAGATTCAGTTAACGAGATTTTAGTTACCGGTAACAAACGACTGGAACCGATTGTGTTCGTTAATCGAGGGACAACTGTATTTTACATAGAAGTAGAAGAGAGAAAAGTAGGATTGGCTTCTTGCTAATTAACATTATTAACAGGATGTAGATTAACTTTTTATGGTGATGTTAATTAGGGAGTAAAACCAGTTAACATATGATGTGGATTAACTTTACGGTGCTGTTAGACATGCATGGAGGTCATCTTTGCCGGCGTCAGTTTGAACCTTGGTAAATACTTGAATCTCGGGAGATTTTTTTTGGTTCTTATTCCTGCTGTGAAAGCCTGAGAATATGTGCACAAAAGTTTGTCAACTTGATCAAGCTAAAAGAATGGTAAATAACAGTGAACTTATTGGGCATCTTGACGTGCATGAAAATTTGATTAGATTTTGAAGCTGTTTTTAGTATAGTTTTGTGATTAAGAATCACAACTCCATTTCTCTATATGGAAGATTTGGTTATCTTGTGCTCGTTGCTTATTGTCTCTCCTTGGTTTTGTTTGAGGCTGTTTCTTTGATGCAAAATTCTCTGGCAGCTTTACTGGGAACGATGCAATAAGTAATTAACATACTTGCATTCATTCTTGGATTATCTGTTAATATTGTTGACTGGCTTTGTTCCAGTGAGGCTTTGATTATACAGTAGTATTTCTTAGCTTAGGGTGACAAGTGTCGGTAATTTAGGTCTTCAAAGTTAGTGTTTCCCATTAGTGTACTGTATCTCTTAAGGTCCCTAGCCTTTCACTCACCTCACTCAAACGTGAGTTGTAAAGCTGGTAAGTGTAATAATTTTTTGATATGAAACCAAGTTTTTTACAAGTATTGTTGTCTTACAGGAAGCTTCGGAGGCCTACCTTGTTGGCTTGTTTGAAGACACCAACTTGTGTGCTATCCATGCCAAGCGTGTCACCATCATGCCCAAGGATATCCAGCTCGCCCGACGAATCCGTGGCGAGCGTGCTTAAGCACAGTTTTACATATGTGCTCACTCAAGACATAACCTCCTAAGCTACATACTGCCATGGACAAAGTGAATGTTTTTAGTTTACGTTTCGGCAAGTGTCATTTTTTTTTAATTGACTTCGCAGTGCAGTGCTGGCATGAGCGACTGGCACAAGTTTTTTACTGTAAGATAAGTGAGCAACTTTTACTGCTCATTAGTGGGAAATTGTGACACAAGAGTTTCTAATTTATTATGTGTGTACAGCATTGTACAGAACTGTGTATTCAATCGACATACTTTTCGTTTATTCATGTGTAAATTTTAGTGGAAAAAAAAAAGTCGGTGATATGAAGACTTTGTAAAGAATACACAGGTCTGGTGTAGGTTATGTGATCACAAATAATATTCCAAAGTACAAGAAATCGTCAGTTTTCTGGTCCGGGAGCAAATCTGTCATATTTGTATTGTCGATGTCACGGTCATCTCGTGTTCATGATCTTATTTAGTTAGTAGTGGGAAAGCCTTTTTATTACCTTTTAATTTTAAGTCTTAAAGTCTGTCTCTTTCCATTTGGTGATGCGTGCTTCTCATGTGAAATTTATCCCGCATCACCCTGTATAAGTTCTTGATATCAGTCTCCTCACTGTAGATTGAAACCAAAAATAAACTTCTAACATTTATTATTATTATTATTAACCTTGTATGTGTAGATACATTAGTGAAAATTGTAGGTGAGAGATGTAGAGATATAATTGAAACTAATCAAGAGGTACTTTAGTCTCATCTACCTTGACTCAATAAGTTGGTTGATCCTCCAAAATGAATCTCCAGTTTCACCAAAAAAATGTAACGTATTATCAATGGAAATACTGGAAGAAAATTTAGGGTTGGAAATACAAGACTGAAATATTTTGTATAGGAAGTACTGAATGAAGAGCACTGCATATAAATATTTGCTGGTAAAGAGGAAAGTAACAAGGTTTTGCAGCTGTGGGTGAAGTGTTGGTAAGAATGAAGGCAGGTTGTGGTGGTGTGTAGGAGTGAGAAAACATAGTGAGGAGGGAGACTTAAGAATATAGAGTGAGTGGGTTAGGAGTTTCAGGGTGGATGGAAGTGATACAGTAACAGTGGAAAGTACAGTACTGTGGATGTGTCGAGATAAAGTTAGGCCATATGGAGAAATTGTCGATCCAATGGGAAATGTAGAGTAAGTGTGTTGCAGAGAAGAAAAAGCCTAGATAGGATGCAAAATGTAGGTTAGGTGTGTTGCAGAGAAGAAAAAGCATAGATTGGATGCAAAATGTAGGTTAGGTGTGTTGCAGAGAAGAAAAAGCATAGATTGGATGCAAAATGTTGGGTAGGTGTGTTGCAGAGAAGAAAAAGCATAGATTGGATGCAAAATGTTGGGTAGGTGTGTTGCAGAGAAGAAAAAGCATAGATTGGATGCAAAATGTAGGTTAGGTGTTGCAGAGAAGAAAAAGCATAGATTGGATGCAAAATGTAGGTTACTAGGTGTGTTGCAGAGAAGAAAAATAAAGAAATTAGGAGATGGGGAAATAAGATTGCTAAGGGTTTAAGCATAATGTGCTGAGTAGTGAGGAATTTGTAGTAATGGTATAATTCACAGGAAAATTGGAATGCAATTAGGTGCTGGATAGATAGGGAGAAGAAATATAGTACTTGGAGGGATAGGTGTGATGTTTACAAGTGAATGGATGATGGCAAGTGTGTAGTGTTCTTGGTTCCTGCCTTTATAACAATGCAGGAAATGACTTGTGTTAAATTTTAGCACAATGGGGTTACCCAAAGATCTGGCACTCGCATGGTTTATTTCACCTTTAGATTAACTACCCCAATGCTAATCTAACCCCCCTCACAGGTAACACTAGGGTGGTTAATTGCAGGTGAAATAAGCTGTGATTATAGAAAGACCTTTTAGAATCGGTTTTCATTTACATTCTGACTCCAATATTATGTCAACAATGGTGTGTGGTCATGTCAGTACAGTAATTCATTCTTGTGTTCACCTTGACTAACCCATCACCAAGGGTATAGGTAATGTAACACCAGGCAGCCAGGCTAGACCCATGGTAACTGCATATTATTTTAGGTATAGCACAATGCCTCCAACCGTCCAGTCACATAATATATTGACCTAACAGCTGTATTACCCATAAATTATCACCATTTTACACCTACTTTCAAAACCCCAATTTTTTTTACTAATCCCCTAACAAATGATGATAGGTAAGGAGGCTTTAGTTCAAGTCTTTATAAAGTTTCAAAGGCAATACCAAACACAAACTTGAACATCACCCATTCATATGAGCCAGAATGAAGTACATTGAAATAAAATGCAAATAAATCTTTATAATTTATTCATGTTTACAATAAGTTCCACAACCACATATGTACTGTAACTGAAGATATAATTTATAGTACAGGTATACTAAATATGTATCGAGTACAGTATATACATTGCACTAATTTAAGTATGACTAGGAAAATGTAGGTAGATATTAAGTGTACTGTAGTTAATTGAGAATGTGTAGTCTATGCTTAGCTAAATGTACAGTAGTTAATGTGTTCATGTGAAATAGTTTCTGCACTTAGTAAAATGTAACTTTATTAAGGTTAGTTAGAGTAGTTTAAGGTTCTATTACATGTAAATCAACTTAATCTGTAGGGAACAACTCTTGAGGTAGGTTTAAGATGCTTATATTTTTTAACTGGGCCTTATCACCATATTCACCATATTGTCTATTAAATGTTTGCACTGTAATGATATAAAGAGCTTTTTACCCAAACTTATCATGAAATTCAGGTTTAAAACAGCTTATATTGAAGATTCTGTACTTAAGAGTGCAGGAAGTGTATATTGAGTGTAACAGTACTAGTGTGTAGTGCTGCTGGTGTTAGTATGATAGTGAAACAATCTAATTAGGGTCATTTTCTGGGTGAGAAGATTGATCGGTCATTACATCAATTTTCTGAGCGTATCTTAGTAACATTGCCTGGTGAGGATTTGGTCCCTGCCTCTGGTCTCTCATGAGGATTCTTGCTGTGTCGTAACTCCTGGTGCCTCTGTATCTCTTGCTTCTCCTGCTCGAGGTCTGCCAGCTTTTGAGCGTAATAATCTCTCTTATACTGCTCCAGTTCACTAAAGTCGACCTGCCAGATTGTACATACCAGACTTTAAGTTCCAATTATTTCTGTGATCAGAAAACAGCTATACTGTACTATCAAACACCATTAATCACAAATCTAATCTGGTTAAATTGTACTTATATGATCTTTATATGGGGTAAAATATTTACTGGTTGCTCAAAAGTATCCCTATTGTATCTAATTTACAATTTATTGGTCCTTTGTGGATTTTCAGTAAATGATTCTCATTAATTGTCTCATACATAATGGTTACACAGTACTGTACTGTATTAGCTCAGGGATCTCATTCATTACTTAAGGCTTGTAAGTAGCTTGGAGGATCTCATTAAACAGTGGTTACTACATATTTAGAAAGGTTAGGTTAGGTTAGGTTTAGCCCATTAGAAAAGCTTACAAAAGGGTTACAGTTATTCCTTTTGCACTGAAGCTGTTGTTTATTGGTCATATAAGAGGTGGGTAAGACTTAAGACCTAACACAGTAAGAGGGTAAGACCAAGGCCAGTTCAGGAAGAGGATAAGACCTAACACAGTATGAGGGTAAGACCTAGACCAGTCCAAGAACAGGGTAAGACCTAACATGGTATATTAGTGACCCACCTGTAAACCAAAGTGTTTATCCACCAACATCATCTGTTCGGCTCGTTCTGGATCAATCCCTGGTACTCGCTTCCAGATGGGCTGACTTATGTACTCGTCGATATCGCTGGACTCTCTCAGATACATGAAGTACACCATGAACGTGCCGAGGGAGAATAACACGACTATTGTCTCGATCTTGGTAAAACCCACGACAGAACGTTTAGTGTTCCATTCGGCAATATAACGTATGGGTTGATAGCTCCCCACACAGCTGCCGCCTCTCACTCTTAATAATTGTAGCGTATCACCGCCTGGTTTGCTAGACGTCTGAGGTTTGTTATAGTTGAGCGTGTAGTGACGTGCGTTTGGTGTGGCCCTGCAACACAGAGTAACATCCGTCAACATGGTATTTCCTCAAGTGAATCACAGTACTGCTTAGAAAATTCTCATGACTTTAGTGCTGTCAAAGTCAACATCATTTATAATTACTTAAGATTTTAAATTAACTAATACTACAGCTATAATTTGAAAATATATCTTTAAATTGATCATTGTAATAACTAAATAGATGCTACTTGATTACAACTAATAAAATTTATCTCATTATCCAGCTAAAAACAATATGTAAAGTTAACAAGACTTTTCAGTACCAGAGTTATTGATATTCTTCTTCAGGAAACTAATATACTAAACGTATTCTGTTTCCTGGGAATTATTTTGGTGTGAGAGGATGTGTGTTTCTGTGTTACAAGGCCTTTAAGAGGGAAACATTAACTCAACATCCCAATAAAAATCAAGACATAGGAGAGAAATGTTTATTTACCGTAACGATGATCACGGAGACAGGCTTGACCCCCACCACATACTATACTGTGTGTGATCAAAGTAAACAGGAAACTTTTCATCAACAATATCAATAAATTAACATAAATGGTACATGTACACCATTTCCATTAATTGGTTTCAAGATAATAGGAGGCACTAATAAGAAATGTTGGAACTATTCTTTAATTTTCACACCACATGTTACTATACTTTGAGTGAATGTAAACCTATGCACTATCAGAGATCACCTGAAGATTATCACCCCAGCTTATTTAACCAGATTATTAAACACCCTAATGCTACTGTGTTAGGGTGATTAATCTTAAGGTGAATTAAGCTGGGGGCTAATCTTTAGGAGATCAAACCTCAGTAAAGAGATTTAACAATGATACAAATCTGATCTCTACATATTTATTACAAAAGTGGGAAGCGCTATATAATTTTCAATTTATTTTTAACTAGTCTGAAAGAACAGTAAATATTTCATGAGTATCCTAAAAAAAACATATCCACAACACAAGTAACCAGGCCTCATTAGTTTAATTAGATGCCCCAGTAAGTACTTTTATCAGTTGGACAGCAAGGGTGAGGCTAAATTTACGACTAGACAATATTCTCACAGTAGTTAAGATGTACAGTACACATTCATAGGCTTCACCACCACTGTTCAATTTGGTACTGCACAGGGACACACACACACTGCGCGAATTCGAAAAATAGAATTTCCTCCACTTCGTCCAGATCACCTGAAGATTAGGTACCTGAGGTTATTTCACCTGAATATTAACCACCTTAATGCTACCTTGTGGGATTATCCAGTTAGGTCAGCATTAGGGTGGTTAATCTTCAGGTGACTTAAGGTGGAGTGCCTAATCTTAGGTCATCCTCTCGTTCTTCACATAAACTACTGTGCTGTACAATGTTGCGGTGGACACTACGATTCCGATGTCTCCGTTGCAGTCTCCTCCTTGGCATTTTGGATCTCTGCTAGTCTCATTAATATGGCACGCGTGTCCTGCCCGGTCTCCAGATTGTGCTTCAGGGCAATCTCCAGTTGCTTCTCCTCTAGGCCGTCAATGTGGTCGAACAGAGTCTTGGTCAGCTTGGTGTCGAGGTCGTTCTCTTGGCGGAATACACAGAAGTACAGGAGGAAAATGGCCGTGCTTAGACTCACCACGACCGGCTGCAGCCACACGTTCTTGCCCTCCTCCTGGTGGCGTCCGTAAGTGTCTCGAGGTTTCCACGTCGCCGCTCGACTCGTGGAGAACTTTATCGGCTCGTCTAAATCTATCTCCTCTGCGGGTGGTGATTTGGTCGTCTTTGTTCTGTGAGCCAGTGCAGTCAGTCTAGGGTGGAACCTGGAACTGAATTATGACAGAGAAGGTGACATTAGTGGTAGTAACATGTTAACTTTGTGACATTAGTGACAGTAACATGTTAACTTTGTGACATTAGTGACAGTAACATGTTAACTCTGTAAGACTGTACTATACCATGTGAAAATTAGCCCCTAGGTTTTTTTCACCTGATAAAAAACATAAAATTAACCCAATCAAACTCCTTCAGGTAGTATTGGGGTGGTTAATCCTCAGGTGAAATAAGCTGGGAGGGTTAATCTTCAGGTGAAATAAGCTGGGGTTAATCTTCAGGTGAAATAAGCTGGGAGGGTTAATATTCAGGTGAAATAAGCTGGGAGGTTAATCCTCAGGTGAAATAAGCTGGGAGAGGGTTAATCTTCAGGTGATCCAAATTCATTGTAAAAATAAATGGTTTAATTTTTTACTATAATGAAACCTTCATATAAAGGACTTCTCTCTTCGTTATAATCCATTAGATGGAGGTTTCACATCTAATGGACCCTCGATATAATGGACTTTCATCTCTATATACAGTAGTTCATTAGATGGAGTTCATTAGATATAATGGACTTTCATCTCTATATACAGTAGTTCATTAGATGGAGTTCATTAGATATAATGGACTTTCATCTCTATATACAGTAGTTCATTAGATGGAGTTCATTAGATATAATGGACTTTCATCTCTATATAGTTCGTTAAATGGAGGTTTCACATCTAACGGACCCTCGATATAATGAACTTTCATCTCTATATACAGTAGTTCATTAGATGGAGTTCATTAGATATAATGGACTTTCATCTCTATATAGTTCGTTAAATGGAGGTTTCACATCTAACGGACCCTCGATATAATGGACTTTCATCTCTATATACAGTAGTTCATTAGATGGAGTTCATTAGATATAATGGACTTTCATCTCTATATAGTTCGTTAAATGGAGGTTTCACATCTAACGGACCCACGATATAATGGACTTTTATCTCTGTATAGTTAATTAAATAGAGATTTCAGTGTATCGACTAACAATAAATTTTAATGCAGTGCAGAATTCCCGTACACACAAATAGTTGATATCATCCCAAAATCCAAATTTTTTTTTAGGAATTACAACTTTGATAGTTTTTGATAGGAGTATATACAGTTCGTACGTACAGACAGACAACATAATTACAGTTAGTTTGTTTGACTCGCTCGACAGTCATCTATTATCTTCACTATACAACTGAGAACTTCCTTACCAACATTTCATTTGAAGTGTTAACAAAATTAGACCCCTAACCTAACCAACTAACCTAACTAACTATCTATCTAACCTAACAAACCAACCAACGTAACCTTGCCTACCTATTTAACCTAACCTAACCTACCTAACCTACCCTACCTAACCTAACCTAACCAATTCAACCTAACTTACCTAACCTTACCTATCTAACCATTTAGTTTTGGTTACCTTTACCTGGTAATTATCTCACCTTGTGTCCTTCTATCCAATACACCTGTTAACGGGAGAACTTTACCTGTTAACGGGGCGTAATTTACCTGTTAACGGAGAACTTTACCTGTTAACGGGAGAACTTTACCTGTTAACGGGGCGTAATTTACCTGTTAATTGATATAAGACGAGAATGTAGTTGCGGGCTGATACAAATACGTAATCCGGTGGCCATGTTCATCTTCCTTATTTCGTCTTATTATCACCAACTTATCACTTCCCGGTCCTTATTCTGGTCCCTGATTCTCCTCACGTTACTGAATATATCGTGATCTTGACTCAATTAAGGAAATATAAGAAATATTTACAATAGTTTTACAGTCGACATGATTACTGTAAGATGACCAATGTTGATTATTTTATCCACGAACATCACAATATAATTTTCTAAAAACTGATGACCTTAAGGTAAATTTGACCTAAAATAATGAAAAATTATGATTATATGGTAGTTTTATATTGCTGGGTTAGGTGGGGTATTTATAATTGGGAATTTGAATAGTTAAGGAAGTCTATTCGTGGTATTTATTTAACCTAATGTTTTGATTCTTCCACTGGCACTAGTTCCCTGCATTAGATTCTCCCTCTCTTATATAAATTTTTTTTTAGCTTTTATTTCTTATTTATATATTTTCTTTGCACTCTGAATAGTTTTAATTAACATTCATAAGTTAATTTAGATTATAATTACTGTTATTTACTTGTTATTTACGTAAGTTCATTATATACACCATGAATGCAGTCGCCCAAATTCTGTCAGATTATTACAGATTTTATGTATTTTATCTTGGTAATGTTCTGTTAATCTTATTTAATAGTTTGTTGAAGATTATAAATAATTCATAGTATAAATATAATTCAATATTTTTAGTTATATAATGCAATCAACGAAACTATTCACGATTGTGCTTATATAAAGTTTCAACAGTTATTTATTTATTTATTTGTTTGTTTACAAGTTAGTTTGTACATAATATAATATATTGATCGGATTCATATTAATATAACAATAAAAAATAAAAATATTAATTGTATTATACTCAGGGTCTCTATGACTAGCAACACACTTGACTAATATTTACCCCAGGAAACTTTACAACGTGCATATTATTAGATTACTACAATAAAAGCAACTTTATTGTGTATTAGAGTCATATTATTATAAAATATTATAACATACGCTAGAGTACATACAGGATAAAGAATACGTGTATGATAATTGAAGATTTCATGACGTTTTCATCTGTCCTAGAGTAAAAAAATAGTTGGGCGCGGAATCACCATAATCAAACATGGAGTTGTTTAATGTTAGATTATTACTACGAACACAATTAGACATATATCACTTTAATCACATATAATAAGTAATTAATTAACAGTAATGCAATAATAATGGAATATTTTTTTAAGTTGTCTAATAGATCTTTGTATTGTCATTTTGTGGTCTATCAATAATACCATATTAGTGTTCGGGGTAATTTTATAACATGAATTAGGGTCCATGTAAACAAGAAGAGGTATGAACCACAAGTTGCAACTCGTAATGGAGTTTTGTATTTATTGAAGATTATCACCAATTACAAGACAGTTATAGGCCAAGGCTGTGTTTCAGTTCACAACAGGACACACGTGTGACTAGAAGGTTGTTATAATAGAGATTGGGTTTGGTGTTACCTGTTACTAAGTATTTTAACAGGTGAAGATATACTCCGTTAAGATTGGACATAGAATCAGTAAAATCGTCTTTTTAATTCTCATTGGCTCATTAAATAGATAGATAGACTGATGGGTAGATAGACTGATGGGTAGATAGACTGATGGGTAGATAGACTGATGGGTAGATATGCATTAATGTAAAAAAATATGGGCACTTACTGTAAGTGATGTCAGGATGAATATTTTTACTAAAGACTCGTGTGTGTGTGTGTGTGTGTGTGTGTGTGTGATTTGTAAAGGTGTGTTGGATTACCTTAAAAATTACCACCCTAATACATCCTTGGCGGGAATGGTTATGTTAGATTAAGTTAGCCTAAGGGTGGTTAATCTGAAGGTGATATAAGCTGGGGTGATTTAGTATTTCTTGATTCGGCCTTTTTATATTTGTGCACCGTTCTATCTCTCGGTGTTCAGAATGTTTCCGAATGTTTAGACAATTCTAAGACATTTTTCTTCTATGATTTCTCATCTGAAATTAAGGTTAGATTAGGTAGGTTTGTTTTTGGTGATTTTCTATGTTTTTTTTATTTTTATATGGAAGAAAGGGGGTAGGTTAAGTTAGGTTATAGTCTTTTGGTATTTGAAATATCATAGAAGAAAAATGTGTTAGAATTGTCTAAACATTTGGAAACATTCTGAACACCGAGAGATAGAACGGTGTACTAGTATAAAAAGAAAGAACGATGTACTACTACTATAAATTGACCCTTGATTTTTATGTTGTTTTAGGATACGGTCAGCCAGATGTGTGTCCTGTAGAGTGTGAGAATGACCCGCTGCTCGGGATGTCAACTGACGTCTGATAAAATTTTTAAATGCCTGAACGCCTAGATTGGCTTGCCATCATCACAGTACCTGTAGATCGTCAGCGTTTGTATTTGTTGCTGTCGTGGTCACTCGTCACTGTCATGCACCTCGCGCCCAGCAACACAGATGCTCACAAGTCCTTACTCCAAGTTGTCTCTTCTACTCAGTGTTAGTCTCAAGAGGAACTTTACTACTTTTGCTCAGAAGTTTTATCGTCAACAACCTGAGCTCTGGCCGCCACGTGCTGGACCGAGGAGGTCTCTCTACCCTGGCTCACTTTGTGATCGGACTCGGCCGCTACATGTCGTCACACGCCTCTGCCACGACGAGAAGACACAGGTCGATGCCAAGATGGTCCGTATTCTCAATGTGGCCGAAAAGAACGATGCGGCAAAAAGCATCGCAGAAATATTGTCTAGGGGCGGCTACAACAGGGTAGGTCATGCGAACATTTACACTCACTCCAGATAGTATCTTAACTGAGAGGTGCGATGAACACTGCGACTCCTGTTGTCTCATTAGGGTTATCAACAAAATCCTTCGTCCTATATTGTGTCGCACAGAATCATAGAGATACTTTATGAAGGGAGTTTATGTACTAACAGTTGTTTTCAGTGCTGTGTCCTAAGGTTCCTCTATGCAGTAGTGGACTCTTCAACCTCTTATGCATACTTTTATTCTTTTGTTTTATATGACCTAATATCCTTCATATCTTCCCACCACAGACCGGATCACTTGAAGATAAAGTTCCCGGTTTATTCCACCGGATAATTAAACTCCTTTTACGTAACCTGATAATTTTACTGCATCAATTGTAACTGCTCATAAAGTTTTCACAGCAGATTGTCATGAAGTGAGTTTAATGATTAGATGAAATAAATTATGTGTCTAATCTTCAGGTGGTCAAATACGTTGGGTGTATAATCTTCAGGTGATCCAATCTTTCTTCTCTAACATTCACATAGAAATCAAATGATGTCTTGTAGGAATGTATGTTGAGTTATACAGTTATCCCTCGGTTAACGAACGCCTCGGTTAACGAAATTTCGGTTAATGAATTACCTTCCATAAGAATCTTCATTTCGGTTAACGAAAAAAATTCGGTTAACGAATTCCTTACAAATTCTTCTCAACATGTTTTTGCTTGCTCACCAGCTGTAGTATTAGTCCGCCAATACAGTAATCGGTTCTAGGGCTTAATTTCGTTACCATTTGAATAAATATCAAGAAGGTTGTACTATTCAATAATTTTAAAAGTTTTATATTAAATTTTTTAGTCATTTTAACAATTATTAAACATAATTGAAGTACAGGAAACTAGTTTTTAGCGCGCCAAACAGCCACTTGACTCACCCAGCAGGCGTCAGTTTGTGTCTCTGCTCAGTGGAGGTAACATCTTGCTTGAGACTCTCTTGAACATAAACTATTTTTACGTTTTTACAGTACAATTATTGGTCATTCTGAAATTTATTTTACATATTGACAATATATAGTGCAGTGCAGTGTTGATTTAAAGAAAATAATCTTGAATTACACCGAGTGAACCTAAAATTTTATGGGTGAAATGACGGCACGAAGCATGGGGTGATTTCTCTTCCATCCCCACTTCCTTCTCTTCTCCCTTCTCCTCCACCCCCACTTCTAATTCCAATCATCATCATCATCAACCAGGAGCCTTCTACATGCACACCTCAAAGTAAGTGTACTTTACTGCATTTATTTTTAGTTTGTATGTAATTTTCGGTGAGCTGGAACCAATTATCCAAAATCCCATTGAAACAATGGTTTCGGTTAATGAACGACCTGGAACGAATTGTGTTCGTTAACCGAGGGACCACTGTACACATATACATAAGCTGTCTGTATGTTCACTCCATACAAAAATAGAAGAAGAACAGCCATACAAAATATATTATCCAGATTATTATATGCAAAGTGTCTCAGAAAAATGTATAACAGCGCCTTACAAATTTTCAGGGAGATCACATGTGGTAGAGGACAATCTTTAAGGCAGTGTGTATGCAATTTTCTGACACACCCTGTAGATGATAAGAGAATTTTATATACTGTATACAAATTAATATGAACTGTATAGATATGTTTATTTTATTTATTTATTTATTTATGATGACAGAGGGATGGTTACAGCGTTTACAACAAGATCTATGAATTCGACACAATGATAAGTGGCCAACAGTGTCAAATGGTGATGACGTCCGTGTCAGGTCATCTGCTGAATCACGCGTTTACAGGAACCTTCCGCAAATGGCTGGGCTGTAGTCCCCTCAGCCTGTTCGATGCTCCGATGGTGAAGAACTGTCCCGAAGATAGGGAGCCTATTAAGGTCAGTTGGTTTAGGTCAAGCTAGGTCAGGTCAGGTTGAGTTAAGTTCAGTTAAGTTAGTTAGTTAAGGTTGGGTTGGGTCGGGTTGGGTCATGTTAGGTTAGTTTAGGTTAGGTTATATTAAGTTATATTAGGATGAGTTAGGCTAGTTTGGGTTGAGTTAGGTTAGGTTAATTTAGGTTGGGTTATGTTAGGTTCAGTTAGGTCAGGTTAATTTAGGTTGGGGGTTAGGTTAAGAGATCAGACCTGGAGTTATAACATTTCACAAAGTTAATGTTTTGTTAAATTACTACAGAACAAAAACATTCTTGCATTTGTAGTTGAGAACAAAACAAAATTAATAGATAAACTAGTGCTGTAAACAATTTATATACGTCAGAGTAAACAAAATAAAGAACGTTCTCGACTGTAAACACTTTATACACATCATAATCAACAAAATATAGAACGTTCTGTAATCTCTGCAGCGGACACTAGAGAGAGAGGTCCGTCGTGCGTCCCGGCTCATCATCTGGACGGATTGTGATCGTGAGGGGGAGAACATCGGCTTTGAGATCATCGACGTGTGTAAGGCCGTCAAGCCGGACCTGTTCGTGTTAAGGTATACTGAATATTGTTTTTTAATAATTTTTTTTTAACATCTATTTACCTAAATTTAAACTTGTCACTTGTATTGATATTGTGTGTGTTTTGTGATATGTGCTTGTTTGTGCATGTATGTGTGTTTGTTTTGTGTTGTGTGTGTGTGCGTGTTATGTGCCTGTGTGTGATTTGTTATATATGCTTATGTTGTGTGTATGTATATGTGTGTGTGTATACATTTCTTCACAAGTCCTCATTACCATATCTGTATTTCAGGGCCAAGTTTTCAGAGATCACCTTTCAGTCCATCCAGCGAGCATTACAGACCCTTGGGCCCCCAGACAAGCGGCAGAATGATGCTGTTGACGTGCGATCTGAACTGGACTTAAGAATAGGTCAGTGTGACGTTCTCTTACAGCATCTTATAGTACAGTACAGTGATAGGATGATGGGTTCACATGAAGATTAGTCCACCCAGCTTATTTCAATTTAAAATTAAACACCCCAGCTTATTTCACCTAAGGATTAACTATGCAAATGTTAACCTAATCTAACCCTTCCAGGTAGCATTAGGGTGTTTAATTATCTATCAAGTGTAACAATCTGGGGCAGGCTAATCTTTAAATGATCCACAAAGTTTATATTGCACTGTACTTCAGATAATAACACCAAACTACAAATATTAACCACTTTCCTGAATAACCAAATAAAATATCAAAAGTGGCATCCCCGAAGTGTAGGAGTTATTGGAAGTATTCTTTTAACCCCTTGTGTATGGGGTCCTCTCTCAGCTGAATAAAATCATAAGGTATTGGCCAAATAAAATATGAAAAGTAGCATCCCCATATTGAAGGAATTGGATCTAATTATATGTTTGTTTTTTATACGACAGGCGCTGCATTCACGAGGTTCCAGACGCTCCGATTACAGAAGGTGTTTCCGCAGACTCTGGTCGACACTCTCATCAGTTACGGGTCGTGTCAGTTTCCCACTCTAGGGTTTGTGGTCGAGAGATACAAAGCCATCCAGGAATTCATCCCTCAGCAGTTTTGGAAGATTAAAGGTATTGTTTGGGTGTTTAGAGGGGACGTGTTCTGAGTCATTGTACGGTTTTTATATTAAGTCCTCCATCTTGTTTCACTTAAGTACCCGAATGAAAAACTAACCTAACTAGCTGTAACCTAACTTAATTAACCTAACCTAATCCAACCAAACTTAAAATAACCCAACTCATCCTATCCCAACCCAACCTAATCAATCTTAATCTAACCTAATCCATCCTAACCAATCCTAACCCAACCTAATCCACCCTAACCTAACCAGATCCACCCTAATCTAGCCTAATCATCAGTTAAGATTGATCTAAGTCGTCTAAATCATCACGTCAGTCTTGTTTTACGTCCCCACCAGTCACACACGCGGGAGAGGAGGGCATCATTGAATTCCATTGGCGGCGAGTGCGGTTGTTTGACCATTTGGCGTGTCTGGTGCTGTTCGAGAAGTGCCAGGAGAACCCACTAGCTCGAGTCACCAAAATAACCACGAAGAACAAGACCAAATGGCGACCACTGCCCCTTGACACAGTGGTGAGGAATTTGTATAGACGTATGAAAATTGTGTTATTAAGTTGTTTGTCCTTGATTAATTGTCCTAGTTGATGAAATAAGCTGTTTGTTTCTTAATTTATTGTTCAAGTTCGTGAAATATGGTGAAACAAGCTGTTTTTTCTTTAATTACTTTTCTTTAATTACTTGTCCTAGTTGGTTAAATAAGCTGGGGTGCCTAAGCTTAACATGATCCATTATTTATTTCACAAATTTTATGGATTCTCATTTCGCTTATACTCGAATAGTTCTTCCTCGTGTCGTTTATACATTCTTACATTCTTATACCAGTTGTGTTCTCCCAAGTTATAAAATGAATATACCAACAAACTGACAAAATTCCTCAACCCTACAGGAGATGGAAAAGTTGGTGTCACGGAAACTACGCATCAACGCAAAGGAAACCATGAAAATTGCAGAGAAACTTTACACACAGGGATATATTAGTTACCCACGAACAGAGACCAACATCTTCCCCAAGGAGCTGGACCTTCGACCTCTTGTACAGATGCAGACAGACGATGTGAATTGGGGAGGTGGGTGTAGAAGGTGTTAAGGAAGTGGGTGTACTGTGCTGTATGTGAGGTCCTCAAATTCATCTTGCGTTACCCTGTTGAGTTCGTCATCTGTAAAGCCATTAGTCACGCCCTAGCCATGTGTGTTTAAAGCAGAGTCACACTGAGAGGAGGTGGGGTGGGTGGGTTCCTTATATAACACCAGTACCACCTGTGTTGTGAGGGGCATGACCTGTGGTACTGCATCTTAGTTAATATTGTGTGTTATTGATAGAAACTAATGCCAAATGTTTATATAGGAATTATTTAGTTTATTTTGTGTTGATAGAAATTAATGCCAAACGTTTATATAGGAATTATTTAGTTTATTTTGTGTTGATAGAAATTAATGCCAAACGTTTATATAGGAATTTAGTTAATGTGTGTTATTGGTACATACCAACTAATGTTACTATTTGGTCAGGTTTCGCTGGCAGAGTATTAGAAGAAGGGCCCAACCCACGCCACGGCAAGAAGTCCGACCAGGCCCATCCTCCCATCCACCCAACTAAATATGTCTCAACGCTACAAGGCAACGAACAGAAGATTTATGAGTTCATCGTACGACACTTCCTGGCCTGTGTGAGTAAAGACGCCCGGGGCACGGAAACCATCGTCGAGATTGACATTGAGGGTGAACTGGTGAGTATTATTTAACAGCAGGGCTTACTGACACTCTGGCTGGGGTGTTTAATACTCAGGTGTTCCTTTGATGTATAAACCATCATTATATCCCCCTCTCCCTCCCTCCCTCCATTTCAGGTGTCTAATACTCAGGTGTTCCTTTGATGTATTAACCATCATTATATTCCCCCCTCCCTCCCTCCAGTTCAGTGCAAATGGTCTTATTATCCTGGAGCGGAACTACCTGGAGGTGTATCATTACGATCGTTGGAGTGATAAGGTAATGCCACGGTACGAGGAGGGTCAAGAATTCACCCCAACTTCGGTGGACATGACCGATGGAGAGACTTCACCGCCGGCTCTCCTGACTGAAGCAGACCTGATCGCCCTTATGGAGAAACATGGCATTGGTGAGGAATTTATGTTCACTTGGTATAAACAATGAGATTTTGCAGTACAGGGGTTAGACTTGTGAAAATTTGCCTGGAGGTTGATATTCTGTAACTCGTGGGAACCTTAATACTGTAGTGCACTGTGAGGTATGGACGGATTAATTTACCCTTCTTATATCCGCAGGAACGGATGCCACTCATGCGGATCACATCGAGACGATTAAATCCCGCTCGTACGTAGGACTACAGGACATGCGGTTTGTGCCCGGCCAGCTCGGCATGGGCCTGGTTGAAGGGTACGATGCCATGGGCTTCCACATGTCAAAACCCAACTTACGAGCTGAACTGGAGGCAGACTTGAAGAGGTAAGAAATGTTGGATGTAAACTAATTTGATACTTATGTGATTAGCTGAAATTAGGTGGGTGTCAAATCATCAGTAAAAATAAGCGGGGGTGTAAAATCATTAGTCAAAATAAGCTGGGGTGTAAAATCATTAGTCAAAATAAGCTGGGGTGTCAAATCATTAGTAAAAATAAACTGGGGTGTCAAATCATTAGTAAATATTAACTGGGGTGTCAAATCATCAGTAAAAATAAGCTGGGGTGTGAAATCATTAGTCAAAATAAGCTGGGGTGTAAAATCATTAGTCAAAATAAGCTGGGGTGTCAAATCATCAGGTGAAATAAACTGGGGTGTCAAATCATTAGTCAAAATAAGCTGGGGTGTCAAATCATCAGGTGAAATAAGCTGGGGTGTCAAATCATTAGTCAAAATAAGCTGGGGTGTCAAGTCATTAGTAAAAATAAGCTGGGGTGTCAAATCATCAGGTGCTCCGACTTATCTGTTCAATCTTCTTCATTTTTTTATGCAGAATCTGTGAAGGAACGAAGGAGCCGGACGTTGTACTGCGGGAACAGATCGTTAAATATCGGCAGTACTTCGTGGAGGCATTACGGCAGGTGTGTAGTTGTGACCCGGTGAGGTGTTGTACAAAAAATATTATCATAACTTTGTCGCTGTTACTTTGAGGTTATCTCTCTCTCTCTCTCTCCCCCCTTTATTCAGTTATTTTTAGTCTTTGTTCCGTACTGTTACTTTAGTTATATTCACCAACATTTATGCTATCCACAGTAATGCAGATATGTTACTGACTCACCCCATAGTCCTGGAAATATGCTACTGACTCGCCCCATAATACTGGAAATACATTACTGACTCATCCCATAGTACTGGAAATATGCTACTGACTCGCCTCATAGTACTGGAAATACTTTACTGACTCCCCCCATAGTACTGGAAATACTTTACTGACTCCCCCCATAGTACTGGAAATATGCTACTGACTCACCTCATAGTACTGGAAATATGCTACTGACTCACCTCATAGTACTGGAAATATGCTACTGACTCGCCCCATAGTACTGGAAATACATTACTGACTCATTCCATAGTACTGGAAATATGCTACTGACTCGCCTCATAGTACTGGAAATACTTTACTGACTCACCCCATAGTCCTGGAAATATGCTACTGACTCGCCCCATAGTCCTGGAAATATGCTACCCACTCTCCCTATATCACTCACAGTTCATGCTTAGTCATCTGTAAACAAACGTATCATTGGTCTCTCCAGGCTAAGAAGATCGACACGGCTTTGAGTAAGTTTCTGGACGAGGAGCCTCACCAACGCCCAGATGACGTTCCCATCCCCGACATACCACAGTTTACGCCTGTGAGTATTGTGTCTGTGTCCTGAACTCCTGGTAGCTATATGTGTTTTGTGACCCTATGACCTCTATGTGTCTTGATACATAAACTGTGTGAACTATGACCTCTCTGTGTCCTGATATATATACTGTGTGAATTATGACCTCCTCTATGTGTCTGATACATAAACTGTGTAAATTTAACCTAACAAAATCTAACCTGACCTGACCTGTATGTGTCCTGATACATACCATACTCTGTGAACCATGACCCCTCTATGTGCCCTGATACATAATATAAGGTGTACACATGCGGCAGGTGTCCAAGTGTGCGTTGTGCGGGTGTGACATGGTGGTGAAACAAAAGCGTGATGGTGCGTTCTTCATCACGTGCCAAGGCTTCCCAGAGTGTCGTTCGTGTATTTGGTTCCCCAATATGGTGATCGCCGCCTCCATCTGTGAGGAATCGTGCTCTCAGGTATTGTTGACCTGACCTGACCTATGCTAACCTTACCTAACATATGCTATCCCAACTTATCCTAATTTAACCTATTGTTACCTTACATAATCTAACCTGACCTGACCTATGCTAAACTAACCTATTATAATTTAACCTAACCTAACAAAACCTAACCTATCCTGACCTAACAAAACCTAACCTACCCTAACCTGACCTGATCTGTGTTGAACTAACCTATCATAATTGAACCTAACCTAAGCCAACCTGATCTAACCTAACCTAACCCAACCTAGTGTATCAACATTACAACATCCACACATCCAAACACATAATCACTTTGTTAACATCATCGTAATGTGTGTTACATCTACAAGAGGCATTATATCTCCATCACGCCTAGATTAATAGAAATACTGTATTAATAGATAGAGAGGTGGATGGATGGAGGGTTAGGTGGATGGAAGAATGGATAGGTGGATGGAAGAATGGATAGGTGGATGGAAGAATGGATAGGTGGATGGATGGATAGGTATTCAGTAAAATCATCGTACTAGTTTATAATTGGTTCAGTATATATATAGATAGTGCAGGTATACAGTTCAGCATATGTATACAGTGTAGTTAATGCTGGTATATAGATAATATGTATACAGTATAGACAATGTAGGTATACAGTAGTACACATGTATATAGACAATGCAGGTATACAACGTACCTAAACAATGCAGGTATACAAACAATGTATACTTAGACAATACAGGTATACAAACAAAATACCTAGACAGTGCAGGTATATAAATAAAATACCTAGACAATACAGATATCTTTGTCTCCTCACAGTGTGATGGATCGCCTAAGAAAATCAAGTTCAAGTTCAAACCTCGGTCGTATTACCCCTACATCCCCGACGAGTACGAGACCTGTGTCGGAGGATGTGACCCAGAGTTTCTAGAGATAATCAACGTCAAACCTCTACCTTCTCCCCGGGGACAAGGTGCGTGCTGCTGCCCTCTCGTTTAGGGTTATTGAAATGTCCCCCGTGAACGTTGGTGGTAAATGACCCATGACCTAAGCTGTTGTGTCGCTAGGGATGTAATTACTGTACCTTACTCAATCAATCAACCCCTGTGAACATGTAATAGTTAACAGTATAGTTGCACCTTATTTGTTATACCTTTGTTGTTATGTATCTTGTTCTATGTACAGTAAATATTAGGAATGGGGTGATCCATTTCCAGGATTTACTGTGATCATTTACAATATTTACTGTAAATAGGACAAAGGTGTATAACAATGTAGATATAGTAACTATTATACTATATTACCAATTATTACAGGTGTACAGGACAGTGAGTTTTGGATTACCCTGTACAGTACTATTACATCTATATATAAAATTAATTAACTTGTGGAATTAAAGAAAGAAAAAAGTTGAGCATAGTTATATATTTTGTTTATACAGTAGATCATATTGGTCCCAGGAACAGTTAACATCATCTGTACAGAGAAGCTGTTGATAATATAATTGGGTAAAGTGTTTTAGTGGTTTTAAGTCATAAGAGGTTATGTTTTCTCATTCCAGGAGGAGGACAGTTGGCCCCGAACAGACCAGCAGGTGCCCCATCCAACAGGGATAACTTCCCAAACACAAACACCAACCAGCAGACAATAATATCCTTCCAACGTAGAGGCAACGCCAACAACAACGCTAGTACTGGTATCAATGTAAACAATACTAATGCCGCTAATAATGCCGGTGGCAGCAACAATGAAGGAGGCCAAACTTTTGGTAGAAGTGCAGACACATCTGGTAGAGGCCGTGGGAGCCAGGGAAGAGGAAGAGGAAGAGAAGGTTATGGCGCCACAAATAACGACAGTGCCACAAACGGCATGGGCTCTTTTTCTACTACCGTTGGGTCATCACCTCCCACTAATCTCTCGTGGAATGGCAACAGACAAGAAGATCGGGATAATGCCATTATGTGCAATTGTAACGAGGAAGCCCTCTTGCTCACCGTGCGGAAAGAAGGCCCAAACACTGGTATGACTACTGACTTGTATTCTGAGATTAAACTAATTGACTCAACATAACAACATAATGTGTATAGTGAACCATGGTAAAAATAATCTGAATCCATGCAAAAACTAAACATTAAACACCACATTCTGTCTATAAACTTGTCTCTGTGTAAATTGAGGATCTGAACAAATTATTTATATTTTTACTCTGTCTCATCACCTGTTATTTTACCATATTTATTTTGCTTCTCTCACACTTATCATTCCCTCTTCTCTCTCAGTGAGGTATTATCCCACACACAAAGGTAATTAATAGTATATTATGGTATAGTATAGTTCATATATATATCTCAATTTATGATAACTATTTACTGTTCTGTGATTTAGAATATGGTCTTAAATGGAGTTGCCCCAGTATTCCATTTCTGTTCTTGGTTCTTCTGTTTCTTCATCTTTATCATCTGTGTCTTATTATTCCATCTTCTGTTGTGAGGTTGATCATCCAGTTCTTCCATCTCTACAGTTATTGGTCTCTGTCTCTCATCTCATGTTAGTTATGATTTTCTTGTTTCCTTTTTCATCACATATTTGTCTTCTTCTGTTTCTTCCTTCACCATGTTGTTCCTTTTTCATCAAATGTAAACACTCCGGGGAATAATCCAATGGACTTTTGTCTTGTGTGTTTACAGGTCGTAGGTTCTACAAGTGCCACAAGTTCGAAGGCGGATGTAACTTCTTCCTGTGGGAGGACCCAAACGAAAATGATAACCGTGGTGATGGTGGAGGGGGAGGTGGAGCTGGTGGTGGAGGAGGTGGTGGAGGTGGAGGAGGAGGTGGCGGAGGATGGCAAGGTGGTGGAGGAGGTGGCGGAGGATGGCAAGGTGGAAGTGGAGGAGGAGGGTGGCAAGGAGGTGGTGGTGGAGGATGGCAAGGTGGAAGTGGAGGAGGTGGTGGTAGAGGAGGAGGTGGAAGTGGAGGATGGGGGGGAAGTGGTGGAGGTAGCAGCGGTTACATGTCCACTTCAGGAGGGAGTGGAGCTTCGTCATCTGGATGGAATGGAGCATCCACTTCAGGTAAGATCTCTTGAGTGTGTGTGTTGGTCGTTACTTTGTACAGGTGTAAGGTTAATTAAATGACCCCTTGTTACCCTTGTTCAAATAAAGTCTACTCTATTGCCTAATTAATCCCTTGTTTCAATTAAAGTATATGGTAATTAATCCCTAGTTTCAATTACATTATTTTGTCTAATTAATTTAAGGCAAATAAATGATACTCTAAGAAAATTCCTATCCTTTTAAGCTACAGACACACACACACACACTCACACACACACACACACACACACACACACACACCCACCTGTAGATGCTATTATTATTTTCTGTCCAATATTAATCCTTCTTAATGTCAACTACTATTATTTTGCTATGATACTTCTTGCCCTCAGAAAGCTTCCTAGTGTCAATTTCTCAGTTTATATGACCCAAAATCACGTCGTTTACCAAGAAATCGCTCGACGGTTTCCGCTCACGTTTACGACACATTTACGAATGTTATTGTTTGCAGGTTTTAACGGAGGTGGTGAGCCGTCCGAGGAGGGTGTGGTTCTCTGCAATTGTTCCATACCTGCCAAGAAGTAAGTCAGGAATGGTCACTTAGGTTAAATAATGGTTACTTAGGTTAAATAATGGTTACTTAGGTTGAATAATGGTCACTTAGGTTGAATAATGGTTACTTAGGTTGAATAATAGATAGACGGATCGATTGATAGAAATTGGATTAAAGTTTAGAAAGAAATATGAAGATAAAAGGAAAATAAGAATCTCAGTCTAATAGTAATAATTTAATAGTAATAGTAACAGTCTAATAGTAACAGTCTAATAGTAATAGTTTAATAGACTGGAGTACCTGGAGAAGACTGTAGTACCTAGAGAAGCAAACCTACTGATAATGTCACACTGGATATTCTCAAATCTGACCCAGGCTGATGATTGAACCCAGGACACAGTAGAGAGTCAATCACATCACCGCCATACCGCTCTTAAATGTCTTCCTGTAGAGTATTTGTGAATCATTTTAGCTCTTATAAGTTCATTTTTCCTTTCAGGTTAGTGGTGAAGAAGGAGAGCCCCAACAAAGGCCGAGAGTTCTACATCTGCACCAAGGGCCAGAGTGAGCAGTGTCGGTTCTTCAAGTGGGCGGACGAACTGCCAGAGGGCGGTGGAGGAGGAGGAGGAGGAGGAGGCAGTTCGTGGAATAATGGTGTGTATTTCTTGTTGGTTGGGTTAGGTTAAGCTAGTTTAGGTTAGATTAGATTAGGTTATTGTAGGTTTGGTTGAATTAAGTTTGTTTTGGTTAGATTATATTTGGTTAAGTTAATTTAGGTTATGTTAGTCTAGATCAGGTTATGTTATGTTAGTTTTAAGTTAGGTTAAGTTAAGCTGGGGTCTAACCTTAACATTATAAAACATTATTTAAGTTTTCATATAATAAAGGGATTTTAAGGCAGATAAATTAGTGTTTATCATTTATTCAACAGACTCAGGATTTGGGAATTCACGTGGAGGTAAAAGAGGGGGAGCGAGGGGAGGAAAGAAGCGCGCGGCACAGGGAGGCGAGCAGCCCAAGAAGAGGAAGTGTGGAGTGTGTGGGGAAGTGGGGCACAACAGGAAGAATTGCCCACAGAATGATTATTAATTTCAACGTTGTAGTTTTAAGCGGTGATCAAGCGGAGAACTAGAACCCGGATTAGTGAGTACTGTGTTGTACATATTAAGCATTTGTGGAGATGTGTAAAAAAAAAGATTATTTTATTTTTTTAATTAAAGGATATAAAGTGAACATTGTACAGACAGTAGGTGTAGAGAGGTTTGGTCCTTAGTAAGTATATATATAATAAATAAGTGAGTCTTTAAGTACATGAAGTAACTAAGTGATTTAAGTTTATAAAATCAGTTAAGTATTAAGTCTTTGAATATGAACTACTATCATTACAGTGACCCCTCGTTTAACGAGCGCCTCGGTTAACGAACTGCCTTCCATAAGGATCTTCAATTCGGTTAACGAACAAAAATTCGGTTAACGAATTTCTTACGAACCGACCTCAACATGTTTTCGCTTGCACTGACTGGGCAACCAGCTTTAGTATCAGTCCGCCAATATATTAATCGGTTCTAGGGCTTAAATTTCTTACTATTTTAGTAAATAACAAGAAGTTTATACTATTCAATAATTTTAAAAGTTTAATATTCAATTTTTTAGTAATTTTAACAATTATTGAACATAATTGAAGGTAAAGTGACTAGTTTAATGCGCGGCATCCAGCCTCTTAACACAGCAAACAGGCGTTAGTCTCTCTCGTTTTCACTGGAGGTAACATCTTGCTTGAGACTCTCTTCAACTAAAGGCTTTTTTTCTGTTTCCAAGCAAATTATTGGTCATTTTGAAATTTATTTTACATATTGACAATATATAATGCAGTGCAGTGTTGATTTAAAGAAAATAATCTTGAAATACACCAAGAGAACTAAAATTTTATGGGTGAAATGGTGCCATGGGGTGACTTCTCTTCCACCCCAATTCCTTCTCTTCTTCCTTCTCCTCCACCCCCATTCTAATTCCCATCATCATCATCATCCAGGAGCCTTCTACATACACACCTCAAAGTAAGTGAATTTTTCTACCATTTTTGTTGAATTTAGGAAATTTTCGGTGAGCTGGAACCAATTACCCAAAAACCCATTGAAACAATGGTTTCGGTTAACGAGCGACCTTCTGGAACGGATTGAGTTCGTTAAACGAAGGGTCACTGTATAATCAATCCATCTATCTAGTCCGGTTTTAATGAGATGTATTTCAATTTCATCCTTTTAATTGCCATTTTTTTATCTTGACTTTTATATTGTAGTTACGATCCACTTTCCACTTCAAGGTAGGTGAGGGTAATGAACAACTGCTGTTTATGTTTGTCATGATTGCATTTCTGGATTGGAGCCTTGGCATGAATTGAGAGACGCCTGTGCACTGCAATATAGGTTCCTCAAAGACTTTATGACATGACATTGTGTAGTATAGGGTGTCCTAGAATAGTGTTCCTGTCTACCTATGATTCACGGTGTCTTAGGGAGGGAGGGATGCAGGGAACAGGCGAGGAGGGAACAGGCAGGGAGGGAGGGAAACAGGGAGCAGGCAAGGAGGGAAGGATGCAGGGAATAGGCAGGGAGGGAAGGAAACAGGGAGCAGGCAGGGAGGGAGGGAAACAGGGAACTGGGAGGGAGGGAAACAAGGAGCAGGCAAGGGGGAAACAGGAAGCAGGCAAGGAGGGAAGGATGCAGGGAGTAGGCAGGGAGGGAAGGATGCAAGGAACAGGTAGGGAGGGAAACAGGGAGCAGGTAGGCAGGGAGGGAGGCAGGGACTTTTTTCTGGGACACCCTACAGGATATAATCCAGGCATCATTTGGTTCATGATGGATCGACCTACAGATGTTTTTTAGGATCACAACCATAATGTAAATTGTCTGTATTTCACTGATTTAGATGTTGATACAGGTTGAGTCTTCCTTGAAACTTGGTATTATTGTAGAGTTTTTACATTTTTGGGGATAATTTATTTCCTTTTATTAACTAGAATTACTTATGATGTCAAAAGTCTTCCCAAAACAAATCGGTAAATAATTTAACCCTTTAGCCCCGGGGCCTAAGGGTTAATCTCCAGTAGCCAACATTTCTGGGGTTATTGGAGAAGAATTTGGGTAATGTGTAATTGAGGCACCCCAACTTATTTCACCTGATGATTAAACGTCCTGATGCTACCCTAACTTAACACTACCCATCCCTCATCTACTCTAACCTAACACTACCCTACCCTGTCTTAACACCAACCCACCCTATCCTATCCTAACACCGACCTAACCTACCCTACCACCAACCTACCCTACCATGATGCCAACCTACCCTACCAAAATACCAACCTAATCTACCCTATCCTAACCTAACCTACCCTATCCTATCCTTACACCTGCCTTACCCTGACACCTAACCCCCCCTACCCTCCATTAGGGTGTTGAATCATCAAATGAAATTTGCTGGGATGCCAAAATCTTCTTGTGATCCATGATATTTTCTCAAGTTCACCAACCAAGAGAGAGTTTAGAGTTTGTATGTAAGGAAATTTGCTGATGACAGAGCCAGTGTGACATGTCTCTCTCTCTCTCTTGGTATCACGTTCAGTGTAGGCGCTGCGATGGTTTGTTTCCGTTCAGATTGATTCCTTTGTTTTGGCTGAAGTGATTGTTCAGTTAGAGAGTCTGCTTGCCGTACTATGAGTGGTTGAGGTAAATGATGTTTTATTTATAGATGGAGGAATTAATGGTTAAATTTGATACACAAACTACAGTGATTAGTATCATTTAGAGGTGCAGTGATATCTCCGTTAGCCGGAACAATTGGTGCAGAGTACTTCCGGGAATGAATGATTTCCGGGTAACGAGACGACTCTCTCAAAGCTGGAAAAAAATCCCTCGCCCCGGGAATTTTCCGGAAAATTTAAATTCCTGCTAACGGAGAGTTCCGGGTTTGAGGGATTCCCACTAATGGAGATATTACTGTATTTGTAGGTCCGTTTGGAGGCGACACTTCTAGTCTCTCACCTTAACTAAGTGGACCCAACCTAGCCAAACCTAACCTATCCTAACCAAGCATTGTCAAACCTCACCTGACCTAGCCCAGCCAAATGTAATCCAACCCACCCAAGCATTGTGATACCTAACGAAGCAATGTCAAACCCAACCATGCCCATCCTAGGATTATGAAGTTTGGTATGGTATAAAGAGTTATCAGCGGTCATTGTGAGAGGCATTGTAAGAATCAGTGACAGTTATTGTAAGAAGAACGAAGGCACACACACACACACATCCCCAACCACTCACAGCTTGGCAAATAGGCACTCACTACCAGACCAAGCAGATTGAACATTACGTAAGTTAAAAGGAGTTTTTCTTTTTTAATCACCTGAAGATTAGGCACCCTGGCTTAATTCACCTGATGATTAAGGTGGGGGGTGGTGTTGATTAGATGAAGTATGGTTGATGGTTAGTCTTAAGGTGATATAAACTAGGGTGTCTCATCTAATTTTCTGGCTATGTATTTTTCTTTACTTCAATATGTATACTTGTGTTTATAGAATTCATAATTATGCATATATGCCTCATGTTTTGTATATGGAATTCAATTTAGGTACTTTAGAATGACTCCTGCAGAAGAATAGTGAGTTTATGTATTTTTAAGTGGATGTAAATTTTTATATGATAATTGTGATAAACTTGCCTTAACGAAAGATTAAAAAATACCAGATTCTTTCATATATTGTGTCGATTTGGAACCTTAGCAACTAACTTGTAAAAATTAACCGACTTCTCAAATATCCAGATATCGTGGCCTTTGCCGTACTATGCACTCTAGAACACAGGATGACGTGAGATGATGTGTTAGTCTATTTGCTTTCCTTATCAGATATAACTCATTTATAGCCATGATGGCACCTCGCGTTTCTCGGAGGTTTCGTTTTTGCAGCGTCTGTTTTCCATTTCGTTTGGATGACTTTGGTAATGAACTGGGTGCAACATTTATATAATTTCTCTTTGGTTTCAATTGCAGGCGAGTGTACGTTAAACTGAGCATTGCATCTGTACTTTGAACTGAGCATTGCATCTGTACGTTAAACTGAGCATTGCATCTGTACGTTAAACTGAGCATTTGCATCTGTACGTTCAACTGAGCATTGCACTTGTACATTAGAGCATTAGGTTAACAGAACACCACTATTAAATATAAATAATGTATTGAAGTATAATATAATATTTACAAATACAGTAACACACAGGACAATGGCATAATAGGAACACACAGGGAAAGTTTCTAAATATAACAGATGATTTTGTTTCACATCCAAATACTTTATCTTGTGTCGTTTTATACATATATTTTAAACAGATAATTTACTTTCACATCCAAATACTTTTTTATATAAACTTTTACACATACAGTAGATATATACCTTCCAAAAACTTTCCAAAGAGGTAGGTGTCATAATTTTACAAAGGTATATTGAAGAGTCGGGGTCAAATGTTCCCTCCCTCCTAAACTGAAGGAATATCTGTCCCAAGTAACAACACATCAGATGACAGTCAGGGTATAGTTCATTTAGGTAACTCATTCCCTTGACTTGTGTACTGTATATCTTGGCCCTATCACTTCTGTAGTCATTCTCTCTACAAAATATGATATTAACGTATCTTGGGATAATATTTAGTACTGTATCCCCTCCTGTCAGATGCAGCTCAAGCTCATTAATTATGCTGACTGTTTAACCCCTTGTGTGTGAGGTTATAAATCTCTTATGTACGATGATATTAATCCCTTGAGTATGATGACATTAATCCCCTGACTGTCATTATAAGCTGAACACTGGCCATGACAACTACCAATCCAGCAGTGGTGTAGTCTAAACCATTCATAATTTAGCCTTTTTGAGTCACTGAAGATTAGCCTCCTCCCTAGTGTCCACCTGAAGATTAGCCCCTCAAGTTCTCACCTGAAATTTAGCCCCATAAGTAATCACCTGAAATTTTACCACCTCATAAATTATCTGGAGGTCTATACTTCAGGTAATCCATAAAAGCTGAAATTACAAATGGTCTCCGCTACAACACAGTACATTTGAGAAACGTGCGATTATTAATCTATAAAATCAAGCAATCTACCTCCTAGCCACTAACTCCTTCACTACGGGGATGCCATTTTTAATATTTTAATTAGCTAACACCCGATTATTTTATTCTCGGAGGTTACACCATACTCTAGGGGTTAATCCGATCGGACAGGCAATGTATGTGTTGGAATATTAAACGTAACAGGATATCTGAACCTGTTAAATATATACAGGGTACAATACTACATTACATACTGTATACTGACACTACGGCATCATTCATAATAGTAAGGCAGTAATTCGAGATATACAGGACAGTACAATATATTCAAAGGCGACACAAAAAAAGTCTGGATTCGTAGTTCAATTATAACATTTGTCTCGACTTCACCGAGAGTTTGACTTATTTGACATTACTTGATATTCAAACAAAAACTTAATTGAACACTTGGCAGTATATTATAACTGGTCTTGACACATACATACTTATTGTCACTTAATTGGTCAATACAGTATTATGAGATATTTTGTGTGTGTCAAGACTAGTCGGGATATGTTGCTTAAAACGGGGCTGTATCCAGGAGGGGGGGGGTTACTGCATGTTTGTAACCCCCCCCCCCCCTCCTTTTAGATGTCCCAGAAGAATACAGAACCAATTGACACTGTAGCCTAATTACATACTACAGATTATTTGTACTGTACACTAATTAAATATGTCTTAATGTATGTCTTTATGGCTGGTTGGACCCCCCCCCCCCTCCCTAACATTTTGCCCACCACTGTAACTTCTCCCTATTCTCAGGCTCTGGATACAGCACTGTAACGTTCGGTCCAAGTTTGTGTGGGAGAATGTCGTGTAATCAAACTTTGGGTGATATTAAAACAAATAGAAATATGTCTATTAAACAAGACTCCTTGGTTCACCTAAAAGAGAATTATCTATTTACAAATATACAGGGAATAAAGTAATAGACTGTACAAAATTAGCATCACAAGGTATTAATCCATCATGTTAAAATAAAATGGTAACTTTATTTCAGGATTTTTGATTCAGAAATAACGTCATTAAAACAAAACTTTAAGCTGGAATGGTAATAAATTTAGCTATAGCAGTTTTTGTTATTTACTATTAGTCAAACTACTGGAAAGTTACTGTATCCTGAAAAAGATCCTTGTCCAGGTAAGTCCCGAGATTAGGCTGTTCAAGGTTCGTTTAACTCGCCTTTTCGATCATTATCAATTACTACCCATTGCCTTAGTTTTCACCGGACAAACTCGCCAATTGGACGGTGTGTTACATGGTCGAGGTGATTACATTATTTATGGGGAAAATTAATTCGACATTTTGAGGTTCGACTGTATTTTCAGGATATGATTACATACAGATGAATCTCGGGACTTCTCGTATTAAAAATAAAACCAATTACTTACAAATTCCTCTTCCCTTAGTATGTGCAAGAATCATTCCTCTTCCCTCAGTATGTGTCATTCATTCCTGTACCCTCAGTATGTGCAAGAATCATTCCTGTCCCCTCAGTATGTGCAAGAATCATTCCTGTCCCCTCAGTATGTGCAAGAATCATTCCTCTTCCCTCAATATGTGCAAGAATCATTCCTCTTCCCTCAATATGTGCAAGAATCATTCCTCTTCCCTCAATATGTGCAAGAATCATTCCTCTTCCCTCAATATGTGCAAGAATCATTCCTCTTCCCTCAGTATGTGCAAGAATCATTCCTCTTCCCTCAGTACATACATCGGGGTCACTGCACATAATGTTCTCTGGTCCTCATGTAACAATAGACAACAAATGTATTTCCCGCAGACCAAAATAAGATACTTGTACGTGACACAAATAACGTTTTACTGTAATTCTGTTACGATAAATTCAAATTATTATGATATTACGGCACACAATGGCTTATAAACATGGCGTCCTGTAAATCAAGGGCCACACACACCTCCCAGAGTGTACATTTATCATATGTGATCATATTAGGGTCCAAAGATACTATCATACCTTTTATAACTAATGTATAATGTCATCATACATTTTATTGTCAATGTACTGTATAATGCTTGATACAATTATAGCCAATGTATAATCCCATCAGACATTTTATAGCCAAGTTGTGGACGGGAAACACAAACACCAGCTCAAAGACGTACGATGCGCTGTCCCTTGTAATGCTCCCCCACCTTAGGCCACACTCACAATAACACCGACAACGTGCACATTAAACCCGTAAGTGTATAGTAATCACATAGATACATCTGAATACTTAATAAACAGATGTATTTAGTCAGTAGTAATGTGGTATAATTTCACATCACCTAAAGATTAGACACACTAGTTTATTTTGCCTGATGATGAAACACCCATATGTGATGGTTAGGTTAAAGGTGTTTAATTATCAGGTGTAAATGGTTTAAATTAAGGGTATTTAATCATCAGATAACTGGGGTGTCTAATCTTCATGTGATTCCAAATCTTTCTAACCAGTAGTGACTTTATCATCAGTTATATATTGTACATTTTAAAGCTTATTATCCATGAGGAATAGACAATACATACTATCTTTGAGTTACAGTATACATCGCTTGAAATATCCAAGGTGTACAGTATGTTGGTTGATCTGTATAACATAGGCATGTCTTAAGTCATATAGTAGACTGTATATATCGTCTATAAGAGATCTCTGGGTTTATTATGTGTGTTAGATATAGTGGGCAGATATATAGCAGCTTTGGTATAGTAGAAAAAAGGTCATGTTTCTATATTAACATATACAAGATGCTTCTAATTATTCTATGTAACAAAAGTGTAATTCCCTCAGTAAACAGGCAGCAATTCTTACCAGTGGTTCGTCTTGGCAAATATTTCAAGGACAGTATTTATGTCGTTTCGTTGGCGGTTATCGTTTACAGCACCGACTCCTGAAATGTTGGTCGTTAAATGTGTGAAGTTATATCGAGACTGGTGGTGTCTGACGTGTGTGTATGACTCAACATACAATACTTTGGTTCCAACAATGGCAGAAAGACTCACATATACTTAATATTACACAAGATATTTGCTGTGTCCTTGTACAGAATTAAACAATAATAAAACAAAAAATTTAGAGTCAGGATGTCACGAAACGATAATAAATTGGCATACAACATAAATTCATATACATTTTCATCAACTGTGATCAACTTACACAATTTTGATTAAATATGAGTCGCTCCGGGCATGAACAAGACAAGTGACAGTCCGGCTTAAGATGTGTTTACTTATTTTTAAATTTTTTTCTGCTGCTATTCTAGTTCTTGCCCGGTGCGCCCCATACAAGCTGCCAACTGACGCTCATCGCCATTTGTAAACTACGGTGCCAATACACACTTTATAATTTCATCTGTACTAATTTCCGCTCCAGTGTTTACAAATCCAGTGCTCGAGATACCTGCCCCATGTATCATAACACACCCGAAGGTTATTGTTATTCTGATGCAAAACGCGACATGGAGATGATAGGCCTTTCTCGATGCTACGTGTTGTTGTGTTTACGTGATGAGCGGCTCGTATTCCATGTCTTGGTGGTTTCTCCTGGGGGCAAAAATTTATGTATGTATGTATGTATACATTCATACATATCTACAGTACATACACACATGCACACACTCATACATATCCTATTCTTTTACATCCTATTCATCTATATCCTTCATCCCATCCTTCTAGCTGTATAAGGACATGTTTAACCCTTTAAGGAGTAGTGTCCAGGTTAGGTTATGTCAATAGCAGGAAGTTTTACTCAGCTGTGAGAAATTCCCACCACACAATTGGTTAATTTAAGTGTAATGAACAACAACATAATTTCTTGTTCTCACTCGAGTCCGCAGCAGAAGAGGGAGTTGATGACGTCGTGAATGGTGCGGTCACCGTCGTCGTGGAAGACCCCGCTCGAGGGCTCTTCCGTGCACTCGTTGACGAACTTCATCAATCCCGACTCAGGGAATCCATCATCATAACAATGCTGCGGAGGATAAAGTGAGATAATGTAACGCACTCAACGATCGAAGGATAAAGATTGAGATAATGTAACGCACTCAACGATCAAAGGATAAAGAGTGAGATAATGTAACGCACTCAATGATCGAAGGATAAAGAGTGAGATAATGTAACGCACTCAACGATCAAAGGATAAAGAGTGAGATAATGTAACGCACTCAATGATCAAAGGATAAAGAGTGGGATAATGTAACGCACTCAACGATCAAACGAAAGTAAATATAAATAAATAGACATTGTAAACAAGAATCTCCCCCCTCCAACCCCCAAAGTAAAATACTGATCATTGAATACTTTTTGCGTTCAAGAGAATACATTAGGTTTAGTCGATTGTTGTGAACTATGATTACATTTTCGAGAGTGGAATAAAGTAAAATATACAATGAATCCATAATTTATATTCGCTGGAAAGTTTATTTCGTTGCGAGTTATCATTGGCATATTTTTGTGGCCATTTTTCAAACTTGTGTGGGTTGTCTGTGAGTGATACGTGATGTTTTCGATAATTGTAAAAGCAGTAAGTCCACAGAAAAACACACACACAGCCATACAAACAGCCCCCCACCCCCCACAAATATACAGTAAAAACAACCACCCCCACACACACACACACACACACAAACACATATACAGTAAAAACAGTCACACACACCACTCACCTTAACGGTCTCGTAGGCGTCCATAATAATAGCAATAAACAGACTAAGAATGACGTAGATGAAGAGAGAGATAAAGGAGTAGAGGTAAGCCCGGGAGAACCACCACACCACCGGGTCCTTCCCAGACGTCGAGGAGAACGTAGCGAACATGTCGTCTCCGTTGATGAGAGAATACAAACACTCCATCGTCGACGAGAAGGTGCGGAACTGTAAATAAACAAACAAAATAAACCCCGGCGATAACGATACTTCCGCCAAGAGATTTTGTCGGGTATAGGGGTTTAGAAAGAACAGTTAATCCGGTTCTTTGTAAAGTATATCAGTCGATTTATTCCCAATTAAACTGCTGATGATTAAACACTCTATGCAGTCGGTTTATTCCCAATTAAACTGCTGATGATTAAACACCCTGATGCTGCCTTAGATTGTTAATTTAGGTTAGATAAGATTACGTTAAATAAGGTTAGACGAAATAAAGTTTGGATAGATTAGGTTAAGTTAGCATTAGGGTGGTTAATCCTCAGGTGATCCATGACTTCCACTTACCTTGAGGTGGTAGGGCCCCAGCACGAGCCAGCCACACAAACAGTAGCCGGCAAACACCATCATGAGACATGTGGAGAAGCGTAACACGTTTGGGATACATTTCTTCATCGTCAGGATCATTATCTGCGAGAAAAACGTAATAATAAACATCAACATTCATATTTTTTTTTACGGGAAATTTAGACACCCTATTTTTTTTATTTCACCTGATGATTAAACACCCTAATGCTTCCTTTGGGTTAGGTTAGGGTTTTTAATCATCAGGTGAAATAAACTAGGGTGTCTAGTCTTCCTGCAAACTTTCTTCTCTTACAGACACACATACATACATGGACAAACACACTCACATGAATGAATAACCACATAAATGAACAAATACACACATGAGTACAGACAAAAACACACACACACACACACACACAGAGCAAAAATAAACCACATCAAAACAACCAATCTAAAGTGATGTAGTGTCAGAATACTCACATTGTACGTGGCGAAGAAGCCCAGATATCTGAGACACCCAAACCAGACAAACATGTTGCCTAGACCGAGGAAGAGCGAGCAGATGTTCCATGTGTCGAGGTAACCGTCATAGCTCTGGAAACGAGAATGATTTCGGGGATAAAATAACGAATCGTACGTCTAATTTTTGTGATGGGTTGATTTTATCGGTGCGGAAATCGAGTCGTTTATCGCCATAGAAAATTTTGATATTTATTTTCCCCCTTGGACTTTTCTCCCAAATAAACACAAGAATATTTCCATCGTCAAAATCTTATCCATAAGTGGGATGGCAAGACAAAAATACCTCGATACCAAACAGATTCTTCCGAGTATGAATAACAAAATGATCGATGGGAAATGGCATAACGTATAAGGCGATGTGGCATATAAGACGACCCCAATATATTAAATTTAGATAAGGTTTAGGCTATACTTGCCATATATGACGGTTATAATATATGAACCTTAGTCATATAGTGCATGTGGTTATGCCAACTGGGATCCTCTGTACCGACTCTTAAACTTACGTAAAATTAAAAATACTTCCGTTATTTCTCGTCCACTGTACAAAGGGGTGAAGAACATTCATGATAACACACACACACGTACCCAAAACAAGCATCAAGTGACATAAGTAAATATTAATTAAAGCCCGAAGCCAATGCTATTTACAGAGCAACAACTGTATAGGAACATACACACAAAAACAACTTGATTGATTGATTTGTTTACACTTGTAGCCAATCAAGTCACGTGACGTAACCGCTTGAACGTAATGAAGCAAAACAAATACTAACATACAGATTTAACTATACATTCATATAGAGTAACTAATTATTGTTTTCTGTATAAGCTGTGATCGGTCCATGACAACAAGTGGATTTGATGGGTGGGAGGGAGAGATGGGAAATTTGGGAGGGAATGACATGAAATCTGGAAGGGAAACAAAATTGGGAGGAAAACACATTAAATATAGGAAGGAAACACAGGAAATATGGGAGGAAAACAATAAATATGGGAGGAAAACAAAATGTGGAAGTGAAACACAACAAAATAAAAAAACCTTATCTCTTTCCTATATTTCCCTCCCAGCCATCAAACGCGTACTATATAAGCAATATAAAAACACTATATACACAATACCATCTACCAAGTCGAAGCAAGATAGCGCTAAACCTCGAACCTGTACTTGTGTCTAGCAGTAAGTAAGAGCAAATCCCACCAAGTCCAAGGGGTTTTATGAATGACTAAGACAAAATATATTTATAATTGAATTTATCTGAGTTTTTTAATGATAGTACTGTATATTTATGTACTGAGATTGGTTTTAATTCATCGATATTGGTTAAAGATGTTGTATGCATGAAGTCTGGAAATAAATATGTATAGAAAATATACACGCACGCACACACACGCACGAACACACATGCACGCACACACACACACACACATGGTAGTCTCAACTTACCACTTGAAAGCTGCTTTTCACAAATTCTGGATGATTTGTACGCAATAACTACTCCCAGGCCATGCAAAAAAGAATATAACATTACTAGCTGGGGAAGACAGGGCTGCTATGATGAGCTGAAGTGTGTGAACATTATCCCTCAAAGCTTATTTCACCGGATGATTAACTCTTCAACACCAGCCATCATCCGTTGAATTTAGATGTAAGGATGATAGCTATCATTCGTGAAAATTAGCTGTATGGACGGCAACCATCATCCGTGAAAATTAGCTGTAGGGACGGCAGCCATCATCCGTGAAAATTAGCTGTAGGGACGGCAGCTATCATCTCTGGATTATCATATTCCTTGCATTCGATTTTTGCACACATAGGGATGGTATAGGGAATCCTTAGCTGCTGGTTACAGGTTGACACTCAAATGCTACCTGGGGATTAGGCTTGGTTAGGTTAGCGTCAGTGTGGTTAATCTTAAGGTGAAATAAGCTGGGGTGGCCAATCTTCACATGATTCAATAAGTTAACGTGTAACCTAAAGACAGGGCCTGAAGCTATCTATTCCTCCTGGCATCCATGACAGTTAAAGGTTAAATTCAGTGTGAAAATTATTTGTCTACCACCTTGGATTACAGATTCCTTCAGGCCCTGTTTAGTGATTTTATACATAGCCAAAAAAAAAATCATAGTCATTTCAAGCAGTTTTAAGCAGTATAGTACAAGCTTAACTCAAGAACAACTAAATCATATAAATGCGTGGATGGCCTGCAACAGTCCCACATTACAGTACTAACAAAGTGTAAAGTGTATAATAATAATAAATCACATGAAGATTAGCACCCCCAGCTTACTTCACCTGATGATTAAACACCCTAACACTAATCCAACCCAAAACCTAACTTAACCTAACCTACCCCCAGTTTATTTCACCCATTGATTAAACACCCTATACCTACCTGGTTAGGTTAGGTTAATTGTTATGGTGTTTAATCATTGGTTGAGATAATCTGGGGCGTTGGGTTGGATTAGATTAGCGTTAGGGTGTTTAATCATTGGTTGAGATAATCTGAGGCGTTGGGTTGGATTAGATTAGCGTTATGGTGTTTAATCATTGGTTGAGTTAATCTGGGGCGTTGGATTAGATTAGCGTTAGGGTGTTTAATCATCAGGCGAGATAATCTGGGGGGTGGGGGAGGTAATCTTCATGCCATCCATAGCATTAACGCGTGAACGGTGACATAGTGTAAAATAGGTGACATCCAACGTGCTGGTCACAAACACGAAAATACCAAGTGAGTGCAAATACTCATCCGTGTTTCAGACTAGTGAATGGGCTAATGACTAATATTATATACTAAGGTGATGAAACAGCTCACAAGGTGCATAAAACAAGCTCACCAAAAAGGTCTCTCAGCCATTATGTTAGTCAAGAGTGGGTGGTGTTCATTGATTGACTCGGCTAAAACAGAAGAAAGAATAAGGAAGTTGTTTCTAAGATTATGTTAATGACCTTGACCTATGCCCCTATACACTCTTAAAGGTCAAGGGGTCATATCAAGGGTTCAAAGGTGTGTGTCTTGTGTATGTCTCTGATATGACCCACAATAAAAAAGGTCTTCCTTGGGTTAGTGTCTCTCCTCCCATGTTGGTATATGGGAGGAGAGGAACTACCCAGAATCCAGAAATGGCTCAAGATTCTAACCAACCAAGAGTATAATTTATTTACATTATTAACAATCTAAATACTCAAACATTTCTCAAAAAAAAAAAAAACTAATGTGCTATAAATCATTCAGTAGTGTTGGAAGTTTAAAAGTGAGTCAAGTCGATAATTCTTGCGTGCTTTAGGTGTCAATGGATTTTGTCCCGGAAAATTCATTGACTCCTTATGCTACATCACCACTACTACTATTACATTATTGTACTGTACTACAAAAACACATCCTTGTAGTTTTGTGGAGTTACTAACACAGAAGTAACTATTAGTAACACAAGCCAAGTGTGGAAAATGGTCATAAAACACTGGTACAATAGTGAGTTTGTTTTTAATATTCAAAACACCACGATGTGCTGTACTCTGACAATTGAACAACAGGGAACCTACCCGCTCCTTCTCCTCCAGGAATAGCTAGAAGGTCAAGATAGAGAGAAAGTTTAACATAATATTTAGAAGATGAATCACAAGTTACATTATTATACATAGTATGGGTGTGGGCAGAGATGCAACATGTGCTTCCATCATGTTTATTCCTTGAGGTGTCCCCTTGCCAAGCGTTCAAGTATTTTTTGCAGTTAAGTCTTTTGAACTTTTGTGTATTACTTATGTCCGCAAACCACTGGTAAGAAACACCACAGGGAACTTGATCTCATATGACACAGAATAAACAGATCCTGTAATATTCTCTCAATTGAAAAATATTAATTCTAAAATCCATTTCTCCTAAATGTGTTACAATGAATACTTCCTATACTCAAGATGTGTTCCATACATAGAGGTAAGAACACACACACATCTCCCCGTCTATTCCTCGACCACCCACCTACAGTTAAGATGTGTACCTCTCTCCCCAGCACTGTTCATGGGTGTACACTGGACCTCAATAGAGTCTTTTAACATGTTGGCTTCATTCTCTGCTGCATGAGCTACTTCTATGGTCTATAATGCTTGTAATAATAAAATTTAACTCAACAGAACTACAAACTTCAACATCTGGAGGCCGTGTTGAGATACTTCCAGACACTCACATTAGCAAGGAGTCTCCCCCTCTTGTGAGCACTTTCCCACTATGGTGCAGGGTGACCAGTCATCTATAACTGCTATACAAGAGGCAGTCACAAGCCCCCCAGAGAGGAGATAGTACCATACAGCAGTGGGCGATGAAGACCTTATGTCCCTATACTCTCACTACAGATCACGAAAAACTGAAATAGCAAGTTTTTAATGAGTGTTGACAAAGCTTGACATGACTACCACCAGGATGGCTAAGACCTACCTTACTCTCGAGGCCGATCTTGAAGAATGATCCGATGATGATGAGAATGTCGTTGACGCAGATCAGCACGTACCACAGGTTGAGGAACTCCATCCGCTCCTCCAGTGTAAGTTCTCTACCGTAATGGCGATGGAAAAATGATGCTGTTGCCTGGAAGAACACGAACTATGAGAGAAAACCGGCGCAATTATTTCACAACATTTATTGATCTAAAATATCTCAATTCAGTGGAGAGAGAGAGAGAGACCCTTCACCCCCTAACACCAAGAGAAATGTCCATCCTCTTTTTCAATCAAGGTTCAAACCTGTAATGGCATACTGGCAGTTCAGAGACCCCTGATATAAAGCATTGAACTGACCCAAGAATACTGCTAGCCTACGTCACATGCGAATTACATATCAAATTCCAAGAACAGAGTACAGTACCTTATATCATATCAAGAAACCAGAAGCTTATGATTTAAATACAGACAGACTGACATTGATTGGAATATCCCGTAACCCAATGGCTCAGGTGAATAAATATAACTAGCATCAAAATACATTGCAAAAATACAAGAACAATGATTAAAAAAATACGTTGAGAGAGACACAGTAAAACAATGTAAGGGTTCCGCTAAAACAAATAAATGAATATAAGTTTCGTAACAAGATTGATGTTACTGTGAATGTGTGAAAAAGAGTCGACACAACATTACTCACCTTCCTAAGAATCTGAGCTCGGTAGATGGCCCTGACGCACATGATGAGTGAGGTGACGCAGATGAGGATACTGGTGACGTTGATTATCATCCTCCACACCTTCCGAAATGGGAAACACACGAGGGTAATATAAGACCGATCACCTGACTAAGTTTTCACAGTGATGTAAAATAGATTAAAACATTGAGGTTGAGATTGACTTAGTATGACACAGAAAAAAGTTGAGAATACTTTATATATATAAATTAGTTACAAGTTGATATTTCTACTTATATATAATTTTCTTGATTAACTGATACATTTGGGTTATATTTTCCTAATTTTCTTTGAACTTTCCACCCTACACAAGCATGGGAGGCAAAGATAACAGTGGGGTTAAGCCGAGTTATCTTTAGGTCAGGTTGTCTTTATCTTCAGCTGGGTTATGTTAGGTTAACTTGGGGTCATATTAGCCAGGGTTAGGTGAGGTTAGATTAATTTACTTTGTGTCAAATTGGGTTGGGTCACATTAGTCAGGTCAGATTACAGTAGATTAATTTACACTGTCAGGTTAAGTTGGGTCACATTATCCAGCATCACATTACGTCAGGTCACATGAGATTAATTTACACTGTCAGGATAGGTTACATTAGGTCAGATTAAGTCACACTGTATCGGGTTGGGTTAGGTAAGACTATCGGGTTACCCACTCTCAGAGTCTTAGCCTCGGAGACCACCTGTACGGAACCGTCACACTCCAACACTTGGGCGCCCACTTGTAGGTCCACCAGCATCTGTCCGTCGTGATCGTGATTATTAAACTGAACCTGAAACAAAACAAAAAATAAACAACAATTCTAGTGATCAATTTTAGGGGCATATTTCTAGTGATCAATTTTAGGGGCATATTTCTAGCGATCAATTTTAGGGGCATATTTCTAGTGATCAATTTTAGTGACATATTTCTAGTGATCAATTTTAGGGGCATATTGCTAGTGATCAATTTTAGGGGCATATTTCTAGTGATCAATTTTAGGGGCATATTTCTAGTGAGCAATTTTAGGGCCACAAGACACTAAAATAATGATAAGTAACCTTAAGCTTTATAAAATCATTGTAACATGACCCCCCCCCAGCTTATTTAACCTTAAGCTTAACCTCCCTAATGCTGCCTGGGAAGGGGGGTTAGGTTAAGGTGAAGTAAGCTGAGGCCTAATCTTGGTATAGTAATCCAAATATTGTTACTACAATTAATAATAAAATAATTCTCTTTGAGGAATTCATAAATAAATCCAAAATACAAAATAAATTTGAATGGAAATGAATAAAATATTTAAAAGATAGTCAAAAAGTTATCCCCAGATTTTAATTGATTAAAAAAAATAGTAGTTGTTTACAGTGACTCGTATATAACCCAATCCTGTTCCTTTAGTTTAACTGGTGGACTTACTTTGCTCGTCATGCAGTAACACTCTGGAGTATCGAAGGGAAGGCTGACTCTCAACTTGATGGTGCGTAAAATAAATTCAAATTCTGCGTTGAGGAGGAGGTCAAAGTTTAAAGTGAAGTTCTGTTGTTCCAAGTATGTCTTCGAGGACCAGTGTGTGACGTTGGCTTCTGACGGGGGAATGTTGATACACGCTGCCGAGAACAACAAGAGTATATACTGTATTTATGTATCGTAGTTCACACAATCACAATATACATCATAGACTTTAACAATTATTCAAAATACAGGTACATAGAAGCCATGAATGAGACCTTTTGTAATTTTAAGTCTTTATGTAGCACCTGAAGATTAGTCCCCCCCCAGGTAGTTTCAGGGGAGGGGGCTAAGCTGAGGGGGGTGACTGAAGGTAAACATTGGGGGGGGGGAGGGGGGTGAAAATTATAACAGGTCTTGTTCATGGTGTCAAATATATCACTGGGAGAGTCTTACTGTCTTTCAACCTCACCATGTCTAACAATATACAAAATTATATTACAGTGCAGAAATCATCATCAACATCGATTTACGGTCATTTGCCGAGCTTGACGGAGTTACCCGAGGTTACCCGATGGCAGCTCTCCGTGTGCAGTTTCTCTAGTGAGGTTCCTAATTTTAATGTCATTTCTTATCAAAATAATAATAATGATACTAACAATAATACTATAATAATGATCATGATTGTAGATAGATAAAACAGGTACAGTATCCCTCAGGTTACAGAAGCTTAAATTACAGACAACTCTTCATGAATGTAACCCTACTGTACCCTGAGGTATACTTGTACTGTACCATAAACCCCAGTCATTATTAACTCACTTTTAGTGGTGTTGTTGTCGAGGATGAAGGAGTTGTTTTTCAAGAAGGCTTCACCGCTGACGTAATGCGTGGTACAGAAGGTCGGGGACACAATGCTGTCGTTCTTGTACATGTATGCGTACGTTCCTATCGCTGTGTCGTGGATGTTGGCGTACTGTAATGTTGTGAAATTAATGACTTTCTAAGCGAATAAGATGTTAATGTTTTGTTACTGATCCAAACCGCACAGCATCAGTGTTTCTTACGAGCCTGATGCTTAACCACTTAAAAACGTTACAGTAGATAATGGCTGCCACTTTCAATATTCTATTTGGGTAACACCGCATGATTTTATTCAGCTAAGAGGGGACCCAGTACACAAGTGGTTCATAGACTATCTCCCCTTGTTATTTTGGTGGATGTGTTCTAGTATGGTTATTCCCTTTCTACATCAAAATCCTTCTTTAAAAATTATTTGTTCCCATCCTCTTAATCCTTAACTTGCAGGTAAGGATCCCACCCATGATGGAATGGAAGGAGAATGAAACTTCCACTAATGATGGCTACTGTCCCTATTGCTAACTTCCACTAATGATGGCTATTGTCCCTATTTCTAACTTCCACTAATGATGGCTACTACAATATTTAAGAGTTAAACAACAACAACAAATCACACAGTACAGTACCCAAAGCTCACCGTGATTGCTGCATAATCCAAATACTCAAAAAAGCTCGACTTTTTGTACACAGCGAGAGGACCCCCCGGTGGAGGGTAAACCTGTATTTCCATGGTGGTGTCCCAACCTTGAAGAAACAGGTGCGAAAAGGAGATCTTGGTGTCCCAGAGATAGTTGACGTGGTTGTAGCGCTGCTGGGCAAACAGACACAGCTGTGACCAGGAAGAAGACCATGTGTTAATTCAACTTGATAACAGATAGATACAAGTACAATGAAACCTCCTTATAAGAGACTTTTATCTCAATATAGTCCATTAGATGGGGGTTTCGCATCTAACGGACCCTCGATATAATGGACTTTCATCTCTATACAGTTCATAAGATGGAGGTTTCACATCTAACGGACCCTCGATAAATTGAACTTTCCTCTCCATACAGCCCATTAAATAAAGGTTTCACTGTAATATTTACCTGCGCGGTGACGACGATAATTTTGAATATTTGGAGCAATAGTTTCCACGGGAATCGTTGCCGGGCGTGCCACTTCTCCATGGGGTTCATAAAAAAGAACCTGTGGGCAGAAAACACGGCTTTTTTTATGCCCAGTTTGACAGAATTATTCTTGAATTTACGTCAAGATTAATGTAAACAGCGATGTGAAAATTTATGAGAATTATATTGACTCGGATGATTTGGCTATATAAGGTTCTCAAGATATCCGTTGCAGCTCATTAAACAACAACAGAAATAAGAGAGAGAGAGATCTACAAGAATGGAGAGAGAGAGAGAGAGAGAGATCTACAAGAATGGAGAGAGAGAGAGAGAGAGATCTACAAGAATGGAGATAGAGAGAGAGAGAGAAGAGAGACCAGATTCACACTTACTTCAGTCTACGTCTCATCCTGTCCGACGTGACCTCAGGACTGAAGAGACCCGTTGTGGTATTAGTTGTCACGGAATCATCGAGGGGACTACATTGCCCGGTGCTGTTGATGCTAGACGTGATCGACCCGTACCGTGAGCCGCCATTCTGCTCGGCCGAAGACACCTTGATCTCTGGGGGCGGCTGACTCAACGCTTGTGCCATCTTTTCAAGCTCTGTGTGAGACATTGAACCTCAGAATAATTTCCAGTACAGTATATATATATTTGGGGATCATGTGAATATTAGACACCCTAGGTTATTTCCTTGATTTTACTCCTAATACTATACTAATACAGGGTGTCCATAAATGAAGTCCATAAATGAACACCCTGATTATAACATGAGAGCATACTGTTTTTAGGGTAATCATTTATGGACACCCTGTATAAGTTCTAATCTAATCTCAACCTAACCCCCATGTAGCATAAGGGTGTTTAAATAGCTCTCAGGTGAAGTTATCTATAGGGGGATGGGAGCTAATCTTCATGTTCACCAAAACACAGTCGCTGTACCTGTAAACATAAACACTGAAATATACAGAGGAATACATAAATACAGAGTTAATACAAAGGAATACATAAGGAGTTAATACAGAGGAATACATAAAGAGTTAATACAGAGGAATACATAAATACAAAGGGGCAGTATGAACACAGACAGTAATTAAACCATTTCCTGTCAGCACAATAAACTCTGATCAACATTTACTACAATGAACTGCCTCGACACTGAATGCGAATTACAGTGCTTAACGACACACAGTATAAATTATTACAGATCAGTGATGTAGTTGGGACAAGAACAACACCATTCACATGAAGATTAACCTCCTTTATGGATGACCTAAAGATTAACCTCCTTTATGGATGACCTGAAGATTAACCTCCTTTCTGGATGACCTGAAGATTAACCTCCTTTATGGATGACCTGAAGATTAACCTCCTTTCTGGATCTCCTGAAGATTAACCTCCTTTATGGATGACCTGAAGATTAACCTCCTTTATGGATCACCTGAAGATTAACCCCCTTTCTGGATCACCTGAAGATTAACCTCCTTTATGGATCACCTGAAGATTAGCCCCTCAGTAGTTTCAGTGCAGCTAACCCCTTCACTACAGTATACCACTTAATATTTTTTGGGGGGGGCTAATTGCTTGATTTTATTCAGCTCAGAGGCGACCCAGTGCACAAGGGGTTAAAGAGCTATTAGTGTTTTTGGCTCTAAGCTGCTAGTGACAACCCTGATTAAGAAATTGATACACAGAGAAGCTTATAATCCAGACCGTGATGTTAAGTGCAGGACAGACGGATCTCACAATTGATTAGGAACCAAAGCTTATTTAACCCGATGATTAAACACCCTGATGCTAACCTAACACACCATAACCAACACAATATAACCTAACCTAATCAATCACAATATAACCTAACCTAATCAATTACAATATAACCTAACCAATCACAATATAACCTAACCAATCATAGTAAAATTTAACCAATCCAATTACAGTATAACCTAACCTAACATAAAACCCTCTTACCATTAGTATTTAATCATCATGTGAAATAAACTGAGGAATCTTATCATGAGAAGCAGATAAAATATGTTAGCTTCAGCAGATTTTTGTCATTTTATAGATTAAAGCGGACATGATGAAGATTACAGCCACACAGAAATACAGTTAGGAAACTTTGGAGAAATTATCTATCAACATTTTCAGTGACAAAATATAATCAGGTTAAGCTAAGCAGCATTAACTCCCTCTGCACCACAAGCCAGAATCATCATAGCTACATGCAGACCACATCCAGCAATGAGTTTATACCATGATTCTGATTTGCTGTAAAGAGTGAGTTAAGTTTTGTTTGGGTAAGTTAGTTTTAGAGTGATTTTGCAAAGGCCATGACAGAAGGCACGTAAACTGGTTCTTTTGGGTCGATGGCAAACGTAAATTGTATTTTTCTCAATTATACCGTTTATTTTTTCGTCGGGATTTTTACCGATAAGTTTGTTTTAATTCGCAAAATGTAAAGTGAACATAGATAAAAGAAAAGGGATGCAAAATTAACATCAATGAAGCCTCCACAGAAATAACCCCAGTTCATGCGTGTGGGATCGGGCTGGTAACGACGAGAATAAAATTTGAAAGCACACGAAACAAACCAACTAATTTCGACCAAAAATTACCCGAAACAATATGGTTATGTTATATAGGGGTGGGAAGTATAGGGAATAAATGATTGGAAACTAATGCAGAAATGTTAAGCTTATAGTACTGAAACATATTGCTCGGTGGTTCATTCCCACTATAATTGGTCAGTTTGGTGATATTGTATTTTTTTTAATATAGCTGGAACAATAACAGACATCAAACACACAATTGCTAGTCGTTGGGTTCGTATCTCACATCCATATGGCACAGTCGGCTGCCAGTTTGTCACGTCTTGGATTTCGGCGGCGTAAATTTTTTCCTATTTTGGGATATTAGTTGGAGAATATTAATAAGCTCAAGTCCTATGATTTTACCAAAGATAAACTCCTCAGTTTAGACCCCAACGAAAACAAAATAATTCGTTGGCATAAAGTGGCGACCCTCCGTACCCTCGCGTCGATACCCGGTTATATAGAAAATGTTAAACTTCGTAAACTTAAAACAGCACATAGACTACCCGAGGCACCATGCATAAGAGATGAGGAGGATAATAACAAACCGTCGTCACTCTCATTGACCCCAGACCAGGAACCAGACCGACCTCTTGGCTTGGCACGCGAGGTTCTGGTCTTAATCTGCATCGTCCTATTCATACTGGTGTCTGTTTGTTGTGGATTAGGGAACTGTGATTGCTGCTTCTCCTCACCGTCCTGGACGAGTAAATGGTCTCCTGCTGTTGTGGTTTCTTCTTCCTGTTCTCCTCTCTCTGGTTGCTGTGGTTTGCTGTTATTGGTTATTTCACCTCCTTGTCCTCTCTCGTCTCTTGATCCTCGCCTTCTATGGCACTGTGCGTGGTTAGCTGCGTTCATATCTTCACCACTCTACCCATAAACTAGCTATTTCTAACGAGATATTAACCTCAAATGAACCACTACGTCACAACACTAAGGGTCTGAGTTGTGTTGTGAGTCTGTGTTGTTGTTGTTGTTGTTAGGTGTCAGCTGATCCCGTGACGTCATATTCTATCATTGTTGCCACTCTCACTTGTCATTTAATTACTCCTATCCGGACTATTTAATTAATCTAAGGTGTTTTCATTGTAACTTGTATATTCCTTTGTCTCTTTTATGTATTATCTCAATCATACAATAAAATTAATATACACTTTAGACTAAACAATACACCATAACACTAAAATTACACCTACTTATTTTTTTTCGAAACATCAACTCCTAAAATAAATAATTTTTTTCCTCAAACATATTTTTTCCTTTTTGTACTTTATAAATACTTCTACACCTGTTAACACTTGAGAGAAGGAAGGTCGTGTTGGATTACACATGACATTTATAATCTATTGGTCTTATCAGTTCTTAAGTGTTTTAGTTTTTATTGGCAGAGCTTGTAGTGAAGTTTTCCTATTCTGAGTAATGTAAATAAATGACTCATTCCAATAATGCGTTCCGTTCGTTCTACTCAGGGGCGGATCCAGAAATAGCAAAGGGGTGGGGGGGTAGTTCAAAAAGTTGTGGGGGAACATAGCGCAGCGAGCCCTACCAGCTTTGGGGGGGGGGGGGCGCTGTAAGCCCCCTAGAATTTTTTGTTTTTTAATCTGACCAATATTATGGGCATTTTGAAGCCATGCGCGCTTGATATTAGGGGATATTCTGAAATGAAATCAACAATAAAGACTTTTTATGAAAAAATACCTGAGTACAATACTGCATTAACGATAATGTATTGAAATTTTCTTGTGAGAAGGGGGGGGTCCGGACCCCAGGACCCCTATGGATTCGCCGTTGATACTGTGTCTATATTTGGTGTAGGTTATGCTAATATTGCTGTAAACTGCTCTAACACTGCTGCCAATTAACATATCTTAACATTTCCTGTCAATTTGACAATGACGTTTTTGTTACCCAATTTCCACGTCCGTTTTGACCCATTGTAAGAATTTTCAAAGGGTCTCGTTATGTTAAATTTTCCTCCTAAATGGTGATGTGAGAACGTGTTTCCCACTTAACACGAAACAAAGGTAGATTATCAAAGATCCTGAAGTAAGCAATTCTTGTAATTGCGGTCAGTACGTGTTTAACTGCCTCCACAACAAAGCCCCAGTATTTGCAACACACGTACAGTACAATTTCGTCATGACTCGAACAAGAACGAGCAATATCCGCTACCATGAGACGTATTCCGTACTTGAATGGATCTTGTACGTAACCATTAATAGTAATGTTCCTAATCGGATAAAAATTGGGTTACTTATCAGGCATTGAACAGAACAAGATGTGGTGTGTATGTAGAACTAACGCTTAGTATTATATTGACTCGCACAGCTCCCAGGAATGGCGTGACACGTGTAGCTATATCAAACATCCGGGCTACCAAGAGTCCGGTCAGAACGTTTTGTCAGCGGTAGTAATCATAAAACGTTCGCTCACCGGTCATAATTCTGTATCGTATCACATGAGATTTTAAAGTGATATATCTTACTGGTTATTTAACTCAAGTCATACGTGTCGCAGGCTTTATGTGTTAAGATAAACGTGACATTAAGTGAATTTTTCATGTTAAGGTTAGTTGATAAGAAGTTAAATGTCAGTCTCTCACTATTAAATGATTCTGATACATCGTTTCGTTGTGAATATCATTTTCAAAACCATTTCCATTGTTAAAATATAATTAAAAATAATATAACGAATTTATTGTTAGATTTCAAGATGTATTATTATTGTTTATTACGATGTGCCACGTGTAAACGAAACGTGAGGTATGATTGGTCAGCCTATACAAAACCAACCAACCAATAGGAGAGGGCCTTTGAAAGTGATTTTTTTTCCACGTGCTTAAAAAAAATGTGATTAATGTTAAAAATTACCACGGCTATAATGCCAAATCTATTTTTTTCCTTGCCTAAAAATATATAAGTTTAACCTATCTTAAATATTCTACTTCAATTTGAGTTAGTTTAGTATAAGTTTCGTTGGTTCATTGTCACTTGAGAAATAAATTTGCTTTCATAATTCGACTAGATACGGTCCACCATCCTAGCCAAAACACTAACACCACCTTAACCTATAATAACTTTAATTAGCCAGTTTTAGTAGCACTAGTAACAAAACAAAACTGGAACACTCTGTATATATAACGAGTCTATATATTTACAGTAGTTACACAATTATGGATTTACGTAATCAAATGTTTCGATAAGTGAGCAGCTGATTGTGTTAAATTTCCTCATATTAATTGCTGACCTCGGATTGAACACTGCCATGGGTCGATAGACAATGCAGGTATACAGTTCAGCATGTATACAGTGTACATAGACTATACAGGTATTTTCTACTGCATTATGTAAGTATGTATGTCTATGTCAGTATATATGCATGTATGTACCGAGTATGTATGCATATATGTACGTATATTCTACCTGCATTAAGTATGTATGTATGTAAGTAGCGCTGTAAGTTTCTCAGCGTGTGTGTGTGTGTGTGGAGGTGTACCCGAGTCCGTCTGAGGCAGCAACACAGCTTAACTTACGTCATACACCACCAAACAGGTTCCTCTTCTCCGCAACTGTGCTTCACTACCACCATCATCACCACCACTATCATCATCACTAACCTTCACCACCAACACCACTACTACCACCACCGCTTGGGTAAATTGACTGGGGTTAGGTTAGGTTGTGTGTGTGTGTAACATCGTGGTAAAATAAACATCAGTGTATCACGTGAAGATCAGCCCCCCCCCCACTCATGAGACGTACTGCTGTCAAAAAATAGGAGTTTTCTCAATGGTGTTTTATCCATTAATCTTCTTCGTCTTGTTTATCATCACCGGCGTCTCTGCATCGTTTACTAATTGTCACAATGTTTAACTCTTCCCTCTACGTTAACCTGACACTCACACACACACAGGTAGAACATTACTGGATGGTTTTAACTCCAACAATATCCTGATTCCTGAACTCTAGTCATAGATTCGGATGTAATTTCTCAAAGGGTTTCGAATCTCTTGAGGTTTGAAACATCGAAAACAAAATTTAATCACTTATAGATTATCCAACAGTTTATTTCATCTATTGATAAAACACCCTAATACTAATTTAACCTAACACTACCTGTGGGTTAGGTTAATGTTAATTTAAGTTAGGGTGGTTAATTTTACAGCGAAATAAGCTTGGAAGGGGTTAGTCAGCTTACTCTTCAAGTTATTCATAGATTCATTGGTACATATTTTTTTAGGAATGCGGTGGCCGAGTGGATATAAACACTCGAATCTTGTCATAAGTATCTCTGATTCGATCCTGGGGGCCTTCTAGTTCACCCAGGTGTAAATGGGTACCTGACCTTACAGTTGACGAAGTGAAGGTGGTCGAATACAGTGTCCGCCATGTTGTCTCCTTGTACAGTACAGTATACTCATGGGGTTAAATCATCGTACTCTAGGGTTAATCCTCATACTCAAGCTGGGGACTAATCTTAAGGTGAAACAAACTGGGGTGGCTAATCAAGCGAAATTGGGGCTAATATGAAGGTAAAATAAACTGGAGGCTAATCTTCAAGGAACCCAAATGTAAAATACCTACTAGCAATATCCGCAGCGTAGGACTTGATTCGACTATTTGAATCTCTCATCTTGGAATCCTGTAATGACCTCACTGTGTATACAAAATAATCGGAGTTTTTTCTTCAATGATCTGTTTACACCACGAGAGTTGAAATACACTAACATACATACAGTACACCTTCTCCGCACTGATCTCTGTACAGGTGAACGCCTGATGGGATGCAAGGTTGTCATTTTCCTGCCATTCGTTATCAAGATATCTTCAATTGGCTTTTGATATATCATATTTCGCGCTTTTATTCATTACTCGCTTTAATAATTTACTTAAAATAATACATATAACTATATATTTGCCTTATTATATACATTATGCGAAAGAAAATATAAATATAAGTTTAGGTATTTAGATATCAAGGGAATTGAAAATGTCTCATGAAGTCATCTCGAGCGGATTTTGAGAGTGGTTTCCCGCCATTATCACCCACCTATTGTTTATACTGATAATGATTATGGTTGGTCAGATAACTGGAGGTTACGCAGCCACACGGGGGGAAGTACTACCCTGTCCTCGACGTAATCAGTCACCACCGAGATTATAAAGACAAACGTGGGTTGTGGAGCGCTGCATTACCATTACTACGTTTTTCAATGACCTCAAGATTAACCCCTCCCCCCATTAGCTTATATCACCTGTTGATTAAAGGCCCTAACACCCTACCTGAGGCCTTAGGTTAGGTCAGGTCAGCAGGGGTGTCTAATTTGCAGGTGATCCGTTTAAGGTAGTGTGGATGTCGGTTAAATTAGGTTAGGTTAGGGTTGGTTAGGTTAGCATTAGGGTGTTTAATCATCAGGTGAAATAAGCTGGGGTGTCTAATCTTCAGGTGATCCAATTTAAGGAAGTTTGAACGCAAGGTTAGTTGAAGTTAATTTAGGTTAAGGTGATGTTAGGTTTGATGTTAGGGGTTAGGTTAGGTTAATGTTATGTCAGCAATAGGTGGTTAGGTTAGGTTAATGTTATGCCAGCAATAGGGTGGTTAGGTTAGGTTAATGTTATGTCAGCAATAGGGTGGTTAATCAACAGGTGATATAAACGGGGGTGTCTAATCTTTAGGTGGGTGATGGTGGGGGGCAGGTGGCTGTAAGGACTGGCCATTGATACTTGAATGGGAATGGAGGGAACTATTGACTTTGTATAGTGACTGTGTTTGTTTCTATACAGACACCCCAGTTTATTTCACCCAATGATAAGTCCCCAGTATATTTCACCTGATGATAAGTCCCCAGTATATTTCACCTGATGATAAGTCCCCAGTATATTTCACCTGATGATAAGTCCCCAGTATATTTCACCTGATGATAAGTCCCCAGTATATTTCACCTGATGATAAGTCCCCAGTATATTTCACCTGATGATAAGTCCCCAGTATATTTCACCTGATGATAAGTCCCCAGTATATTTCACCTGATGATAAGTCCCCAGTATATTTCACCTGATGATAAGTCCCCAGTATATTTCACCTGTAGTAAACTAACGGAATAAACCCGTGTATGTTTCCAGAGTACATAAACAGTATATTCTAAGCTATGATAATCCTTTATAACGCTGTTTTAAATGAAAAATAATCTTTAAAAAAATCATAATCGGCTAAAAATTATCTTATAAACAGCAGCTGTTTATGTCTTGGTAGGGAAGATGGAGTTGATCAATGTACAGTATATATAATCGATCAAACTTTACGACGTTAAAGGAGGTACCGATGGACTGATCATAATGGTACGTTAGTCAGACGAGTCACATTACGCTTAAGTCACCCACTGAAATATACGTTTTTTCTCATATGTTTTCATCCCATTCTCTCTACATAAATTATGCCATGTTAGTGTTTATTAATGTGAAATAACGATATATATACCTACTGTCATCTGTCTCTGTCTCCCACGTAAATCAACAAGTCTATAGTTTAAACAATAATATTTTCCTCAAGACCAAATATATAATGAACCACTATAGGTAGATCGTGCAGGTACAAGACAGTATTAGTGTAATAGATCATTAATTAATCATCTACCTTAATATGAAGGGAATAGACATATCTGTTTTTTCTGAAATAGATTATTATATTAATAAACACAAGTGAATAATTTACTGAATAAATATCTAATATATTTTGGTATTGTAGGTTGTTACGGCGAAGGTGGTTGAAAACTTGCGTCTGATTGGTCAATTTTCAGCTATAGTAGTTGGAAAAGAATGACTGTGATTGGCTGGATGGGGACAGGAGGACAATATGGCGGCGGTGAAGAGCTGTGACTGTGTGAGTTGTCTGCTGCTTTATGGACGCTTTTCGGAGTTAAAATGAAAGGTAAGTTGGATAATAAGTCAACTGCAGGAAGATAATATATGTGTGTATAGTTTATAGTGTAATATAAGACGAGGCATATCCGGGGTGGAGGTATATGGGGGAATTATTACCAGAGGTCTTTTGTGTCCAGGCAATAGACCGTCGCCATTGTTTTCAATTTGCCAAACTGATTTTTTATTTTCTCATTTAATTGCAGTCACTTGTAATGATCCTTAGACTATTATTACGGTATTACTCCTGGTTGAATTATAAAGGAGATCCATCATCTTGTAAAGGGATTTATAGTAATTTTATGCAATAATTATGGAACATGGGCGGTCACAGCAGCCACTATTGTAGTGGAATAATAATGATGGTTGACCCTTGTGTAACGAGGATGGCCAGCCCAAGGGCCATCTAGGCGTGAATTTATTTAGAGGTGTAGAAGATGTCGCCAACACAACAACCACACTCAGAGTTAACGAGTTACATTTTGTCAAGGAGAAGACCGAACTACTCGTCAATACACTGGCTAACCATTACCTCGGAACACGATTAACATCAAAGTCCTCAATTACTGCTGGGTAGACAGAGGCTAATGGCGTAAGAGACGTTCACATACTCCACCATTACCATTTTATTTGGTAAAATTTGTTTTTATCCCAATTTTCCCAGTTGGTATGAGATATTTTGTTTCTTGCGGAAGAGTAACTTAACCTACTATTGCTATATACCTATCGGTTTTTTTTTCCTAACTAATAAAGAAGCCTTGTGATAATGGTAAATAATCAGAAATACCTTTTGGGATAAACATTGAAGGTCAATTTATGATAGTACACTAGTCAGGTTTTGAGTTTAACAAAAATACGTTTTTCACACAGTAGTTCAGGTTATTCTAAAACACTTTTCTTCTATGGCACTTACATCGGAAATTTATATTTTTCGAGTATTTTAATAGATAAAATTACAACAATATTTCTTGTTGAAAGTGGGCTGGGCTTTGAAGTCGAGGGAAAATGTTGGGTAAAATACTAAAAATATCACCAAACAAACCTTTGAAAACCTGACCTAACATTTCCTAACTTGTAAAATTCTTAAGAATCACTAAGAGTTATGAATCCTTCCTTAGCTGAACACCGAAAATAACACATACTAAAACCCGAGACACATCTGCTAAACGCAGAAAATATGAATAAGGTAAACTTTATAGTCTTAAGAATTTTAAAGGTTTGCTGACTCATGCCATGGTTATCTGATACAGTACTGTACAGTGTTAACTAATGTACTGTCATGGTTACATGCCATCTTTCATGAGATCCCATGCCATCACTTGATGTATTTTTTAAATATTTTTGTGTTAGCTAACTGTACAGTATATTTTAGTTTTTATTTGAATATAAGTTAATTATTGTAAATTAATGAAGACACATATTACAGTATAATATATTATTTTATCAGTTCACATCAATTCATATCAATTCACATCAATTCATTACATCAATTCATATCAATTCACATCAATTCATTGATATCAATTCATTACATCAGTTCATATCAATTCACATCAATTCATATCAATTCACATCAATTCATTGATATCAATTCCAATTCAATTCAACTAATTTTAATTTTGTATTTTTCAATTCCAATTGACGGATTTTTTTTAATCAATTCCAATTCAATTCATAATTGACCCCATGTTTGTCGGCAAGCTCGTTGTACAACTCTCTTAGCACTCTGGGATGCACCATGTCAGGGCCGGGACTCTTATGGACCTTTAGCTTTGACAGTTTATTTCTAATACCCTCTTCTGTGGACACAATGTGGGTTAGTGCTGTGTTGAACCGTCTGTCCTCAAACGCAGGAAGGTTAATCGCATCCTCTCTTGTGAACACCGAGGAAAAGAAGCTGTTCAATGCCTCTGCTTTATCCTGGTCAGAATCTGCGTAACTACCATCTTCAAGCATCAGGTCTGACACTCCTACTCGCGTTTTTAATTTCGACTTTGCATAGGTCTAGTGGCTTGGGTGTTTGCTCCCTTCTGTAATGTGTCTGGTCTCTTAACATTTTGAACAGAAAATTATCTCCGAGTTTCTACAAAAAGAGTAGCAGGGTTATTCAAGTCATTTGGGGTGAACTCGTTTCTCCAGTTGATGTCGCCATAGTTAAAGTCCCCCATGATAAGTAGGTGGCTAGGGTTGAGCATCGCCGCATTGTCTATTAAGGCTCTTAAGTTCCTTTGATTTAGTGGGTCACAGTTTGGGGATCTGTAGATACACCCGACATTGGCCGACAATAAGTAAGTCCCCTCCCTTTAGTTTAATTTGACACCACTTGGACTCTTCAAAAACATCCTCTCCCTGTACCCTCGCCTGGCTGGCTCTAAGGTCTTGCCTAGCATAGATAACCACACCCCTCTTGCAAGTTTCTTAAGAAAGGTTCGTAAATGAGTCATCCAGCAATACTGAACTTATTCCTCTGGGTCGATTCTCCTGTTGTTGTACAACAGTTCTACAACTCCGACAGTATCTGGTTGGTGTACCTTCCGTAGTGTTTCAAACTCCTCTCTCTTATCAAGGGACGTGTTAGTATTAGTGTACAGTACATGACATTCAAACCAGAATTATTTCTCTGTAACGTCTCTGCTCTTAGTAGTAACACCCCCGCCCCCCCCCCATTCACAGAAGCTGCAGCATTTACAAAGTACACTGTATTTTGCAGGGTGTGGGTAGAAATGTCATTGTTTACAAGGCTCTCGCCCCCTGAATATAACCCATGTACACCCGTCCCTGTTCCTCCTCGACTCTTCCCTTCCCTGCTTCAAGTCCTACAGGAGCTTCCTGTGCTGTTCCCTCTGCATTACCGTGCGATCTGGGTGAATGAATACACTCCGAGATGCCTTGCTAAGTTTTTTGCCTGCCAAATAACCTCCCATTTCTTCTCCTCACTCAATAGTGTGATCCTGAGGGACAAGGCTTATCCCCCTGCTTTTGTCCCAGCCTCCTCACATCCTGAGGGGTTGATGGCATCTTCAGAACCTCTGTACAAATATTCTTAAACTGCATCTTATCATGTGTTATCTTACTCTGTTCCCTCCGCTTGGCTCTCAGGGACTCCAAAACCTACTACATTGTTCCTGTGCTGGAAACGTTCCCGTTGTTCCTCCTCTCCCCTCACAGTAGGTTCATTAATTTTCATTTCTTCGACACACTTCTTCAGAGTCCCTAGCTGCTGTAGAACTTGTTCTGATCCTGCAGTACTCTCCTCCACCTCCTGTAGCCCTGCTAATACCTCAGCATAACTCCTCTTAGCAACCACCTCCATTCTGTGGGCTACTTCCTCAGTCTTAGCAAAGACCTCTGTCCCAATTTGTTCTAGTTTGGCAGCCAGCAAGGCTCCAGCTTCATCTATTTTCGTCCCAAGGGAACTCGTGCCCCTATGGCTTGCAATCGCCTCTTTCACCTTGACTGTGCAGTCAGGGCAATACCAGCAACAGCCTTCCTGCTTTACGGCAGTTAGCATCTTCCTAAACGTTGCATTGGTCAGGCCTGTATCCTCCATATCCGTCATCCCCCGCAGTAATCACATATCATCATTTTCTTCATGGTTGTTGTTGTTGTTGTGGTGGGGGGTTACAGACTTTGTATAGATCTACACCTATTTAAAAATAAAGAGAAACAAACAGTACTGTACTAAGCTGCCCTCTGCCTCCCCTGTTGCCTTTACAGTGGTCTTCTGTTTTCTTCTCTTTTTTTTCTTCAGTTCACTGAGGCATTTGTCGGTATTTATGTGCTATCTCTATGTTCACTGCATTTTGCTATGATTAACGGATTTTATATACTCGCTCAGTCCTTTAGAAACACAGAAAAATAAAATAAAACTTTCTTTGGGCCTTTTAGGATAGCTATCACTGTGTACACTGCAGCTCCCTGTGAATGGTGTATTGTAGGCACAGTTTCAGTCCATGAGAAAGCACACAAACAAAATAAAATTTAAAGTCTCTGTGGCACCTATAACACGACTTGGTGCCTTTCCAGCTTGCTTGCCAGTTTGTATTCACTTTAAGCTATTTACAACCTCTTCTGCAGTCACTGATGACACTATGAACTGAATTAACTAAAGGCACAGTACTGCACTCCCTGGTTGGCCTTTATCACAGCCGTGACCACAACTCCGTCAAAAAATTAAATAAAAGCTTTGTCACATGGCAATGATTTTGTGGTTGTAGGCGTCTTGACCTGGGCTGTATCTCCAACTCGGTGGACATTGAGTTTTCAAAAATACAATCGCGTCTAGCATTAAATATCCTACATCGATTTACACTTTCACATCACTAAGACGATCTTGATGGTCTTATGTAATCACTGTCCAATTTTTGCCGCTCAACAGCGAAGGCCCGAATGCCGAACACGCTTTGTTACAGAGACGCAATACGACCCGACCCACGCCTAACTCCCTCACCTCACCCACAGTTTCCTTATGGCCGGAGGACCACAGCATTATTGTGATGACTGCCTAGTGCCACTGACTGTGAGACACTTGCTGGTGACTTGGGGAGTTGTTTTCTGTCTGAGTGCCGCAGGTGGATGGCTCCTCCATCTGAAAGGTGCTCACAGAGAGAAGTTCAGCACCTGATGGTGGACTTATTAAATTTTTAGTTGTAATAGAGGTACTGTACTTAATCGCTTATGATTTTTTAATAAATATGGGATTTTATATTTAAATTTTGATATTTAAACTTAATAGGGTTTTATTTTACTGCATTTATATCATAGTTTAAAATTATGGCATTAAATGGCCACAGGCTGCAATGCTGGATACTTTACCCCATCAGTCACTCTGCTTAGTACACTATATATTAGTTAAGAGCTGCATATTGATGCCATCTTTTACTGATATGGTAGAGAAGACTAATATGCTGGAGTTTGATTAACTCTATATAGGAACAACTTTTCCAGACTTTTACAAATTGAAAATTGTTACTTTAAGTTTGTATGTCCTTTATGACCTGACACTGGTGTATATACTATTCAACACAGTGGTGTGGTGGCTCACTGGCAAGGTGACCTTTGTGGATGACGGAGGCCTCGGCTTCGACTGAAGACGTGTTGAACTGGACGAGTCAGAGGCAGTATTTTAAATGGTTCGTAAGTGATATTTATGTTTTACCTTAAATATTTTCTTTTATACAGGTGAGAGAGATTACCTGGGTGTTGGTACAGGTGAGAGAGATTACCTGGGTGTTGGTACAGGTGAGAGAGATTATACAGGTGAGAGAGATTATGTTGGTACAGGTGAGAGAGATTACCTGGGTGTTGGTACAGGTGAGAGAGATTACCTGGGTGTTGGTACAGGTGAGAGAGATTACCTGGGTGTTGGTACAGGTGAGAGAGATTACCTGGGTGTTGGTACAGGTGAGAGAGATTACCTGGATGTTGGTACAGGTGAGAGAGATTACCTGGGTGTTGGTACAGGTGAGAGAGATTACCTGGGTGTTGGTACAGGTGAGAGAGATTACCTGGGTGTTGGTACAGGTGAGAGAGATTACCTGGGTGAGTTAGATACAAATATTACAAGAATTTTTTCATGAGGTAGATTGATACAAGATATTTATAGTTGAAGCTTATTATTGGTATTAATGGGTAAAAGCCAGGGGTAATTGTATTTGGGAGCAAGGCAGAGACTGAGATGGATGAACGAATTAACTTTGGTTGTGGTCCCCCAGAGGATGCATCACCTGTGGCAGGGAACTGTAGTTGCCGACTCTTAGACATGATGGTTCCTTTATTAAACTGCTCACCTAGTTTCTGCAATACAGTTTGTCTAATTATAAAATGACTGGGGATAATCTCTATTGGTCATTAATTTGTTATAAAACTTCAGATAATACAAGTCTTTTTGTCATCTGTCTATATGGAGTACAAAATTGGCCACAAGTTTAGGAGTCAGCTGTGTTTAATACTGTGTTGCTGACCCCTGTTGTGATGCTACTGACCTAGCATGGAGTGAATGTTGGGTCAATAGACAAATTACTCAGAACAGAAATGAGTTTATCAAGAGGTCAAGGTCATTGTCGAAGGTCAATATTTGTGGCATGTTAAATATAATGCGTGTGATGATAATAATAATAATAATATTTGTTCAGTAAAATTGGCATCTAGTTTTAGAGTTGGATAATGTTTTATAAATTAGCCAGTTGGGAGTGTTTTTATGGTGTAGTGCAGCCAGTGTCTTGTAAAGTGCATATGGGAGGAGGGGAGTGTGATGTGGTATATCCTATCACAAGCAATATACTGTATTGACTCACTAATATTTCTTGGTGAGAAATAGCGTGCGTCTTAGCATCCTCATGAAGTGTCCTAAGTAATAGGGAAACAGCAGGAGTTTTGATAATTGATAGATAAAGGTCTCAGTATAGTAGGTGATGAAACTGGCAGTGAGTATTGGATAGATAGTCAGTGGAATAGACAAATTGGGAGAATGGAGACGGTGTGTGGTAGAAGGAAGAATTGGGATGGAACTGGACTAGAAGTGAAGTGAAGGAACATCCAGCAAGCAGTGGTGTATGCGAAGGGTGGATAACATAGCGGTGATTTATTGGGTAAAGACGTGTTGGTGGTGAATGATGTTGACAAGTGAGAGCCTTGAAGTAAACATGACTTGTTGTGGGTGAGGTACTGATCCACCAGGTAGTGTGAATAATGAACGAGGGTGTATGAAGAAAGAGTTATTTGTTGTGGGTGATACTAGTCCACCAGGTAGTGTGAATAATGACTGAAAATTGTGCTGAAGAAAAGAAGTTATTTATTTGTGGGTGATACTAGTCCACCAGGTAGTGTGAATAATGAGTGGGGTGTATGAAGAAAAGAGTTATTTAAGCTGTGGAAGTACTAGTCCCACCAGGTAGTGTGAATAATGACTGAGATTGTATGAAGAAAGAGTTATTTGTTGTAGGTGATACTAGTCCACAGGTAGTATGAATAATGACTGAGGGTGTATGAAGAAGAGTTGTTTGTTGTGGGTGATACTAGTCCGCAAGGTAATGTGAATAATGAACGAGGGTGTATGAAGAAAGAGTTATTTGTTGTGGGAGTGTTTTAATTCCACCCAGGTAGTGTGAATAATGACTGAGGGTG